TTAGACACTCAAAATGACCAAACACAGACTCATTTATAAAACAGAGAAAACTGAACCTTAGCAGACAACATGAACTACTACAACAAGACAACAGCATCACTCGATCACTGAAGAACGATTATCTGTACTCAAGAGTCAAAGAGCTTGATTCACAAATCTATACACATAATATTTTGAAGCTGTAAAGATAACTAGCATTTCATACCATTTCACCTAACAGCTTGGACCCAAAGATACACTTGTCAACTTTGAGATATTTAAAAGATACCTGTTCACAATGAATTCTCTTCAAAATCTCCCGCCGGTAGGCATAGATAGGCAGTCCATCCTCTAGCCTTCGACACTCTCTACGAATCAAATAATGAATACGTCTCCAATCATAGGCCCCTTCCAAACAAAACACGGCGACGTCTTCGTCTTCTTCTTCTAAATCAAACTCATACCCGTCTTGTCCTATGAGATATCGCAAAATGCTCTTCATGGCATTGTTGAATTCTTCAAGCCGATTCACAACCAAATCTCTCTCCGCTTCTATAGCCTTCTTTTTCTCAAAAACCTCAAATTTAAGACCCCTTTTGGACGAAAAGGACGCAACTTGACGAGACTTCTCATCTATCTCCATTCTCACCTTCTTGACGCCTTCTCCATTTTCCATAAGCAAAAGAACATGAGCAGAGAAAAGATCACGAAGCCTGTCTTTAAGCTCGTTCATGTCTGACGGAACAATAACATTAGGAATCAGCTCAGGAACAAAATCATGTTTCCCTTGAAGCCGATAGTCCCAAAGAGCCACGACAGCAGAGCGCGCATCGACCCACTGACGAAAACTGAAACTTCCGGCGATACAACCAAATTGAGGGACATGAACAGATTCCTCCGGAATTTCGCAAAGCAAAGCGAGACTCTTGATCTCTTGCTCCTTAGAAGAAAAAGACAGCTTCGTGTCACTGTTAGCGGCGGCGTTAATTCTCGGGTGAAGCAGCTGAACGATGAAATTCGGCCTAGCCCGCGTACCTGGAGACGAGATTCTCGGCGACGGAGCATGATCACGCCTGTAATTTGGCGGGAAATTAGAGTTAGGGTACTGAGAGTGTTGCTGGTTCCAAGTAGGACGGTGGTTGAGCGGCGGAGATGATTGTGCAGAGCGAGAGTTATAACGGTTCATAGAGGATGAGGAAAACGACGGATGACGACGATCAGTCGCCGATCTTCCACCGTCTGAAGGAGGAAAAGAGTTCCTCATGATGGTATGATGCCAGTTTTGTGTGTGTGTTTGTTTAACGATGAGAGAGCGAAAGAGAGAAAGAGACAGAAGTTGAAAGATTGAGAAAGAGGCAGAGTTATACCATTATTAATACCCTATTAATAATTTCCTTTTTTTTTTTACTTTTCTTTTACTCTTTTTCTTTAACCTATTTTCCTACTTTTCTGTATTTGTTTTTGTTACATTTAATATTTTCCTTTTATTTCTTTCAATTCTTTAATTATTTGGTTCGACTAATGGAAGCATCTAGAAACCCAAATTTGAGAATGAGAGTGCTAAAGTGAATATGAAACTTCAAAGTATTAAATAGTTAAACTCATATTATTGTAAAATTTAATAATATTCCTTAATTATGTATTAGATAATTTAGATTTTAGTCAAAGCATTTAACTTTATCAATAATTAATTAGTAATTTCAAAAGCTATCTAAACTAAAATTAAATAGATAATATTGAAAAAAACAGAAAATAGATAAAGGTGTTAAAAAAATTGTATAAAAGAAAAAACAAACAAACTGAAAATAACATGTTTTTCAAACAAAAACAATATTGGTTAAAAAATTTAATAATCTCATATCTTTTTGGGAATCTTGGCAAATGTACCACTTTCTGACGATTCCTTTTGAAATCTACCACAATTGGAAAAAGTTTTCTGTTTCTACCACTTTTTTTGCCATGTGATAATTTATGGACGAGTTTGCCCTTGATGGCGACAGACTGATGTGTCAGAAAAAAGGACAGCTGCATTAATTGCACTCGGGGACAATTTTTGTTACATTTAGGGACAAATTTTATTACACTCGGGGACAATTTTTTCGGAACTCCATCGACGAAGCTTCACCGCTCCAAATCCTGTGAGCTATGGGAATCATCATCATCATCTAGACCGATCAAAACTCATTCGATTCGAAGAGTTTATAGCGCAAATTTAGATCCATTCTCCGACGAAGAGTTTTCAAAAAAAATCCAAGAGCTAACTCTCAGATTCAATGTCCCAAACCAAAACGACGACGAGAATTCAGAGCCGATGATAATTCACGATTACAAAGCTAATTCAATCGAGCCACCATGAAATGAGATGGTTCATTTGTCGAGTATTGAAATGAAAGCAAACAGTGTTGATCTTCCTCGTTCACTTACTCGGAGACGAAGACGAAGATCTGGATTGAAATGAAAGCAAACAGTGTTGATCTTCCTCGTTTACTTACTCGGGGACGAAGACGAAGATCTGGATTTACTCGGGGACAACTTTGTTTCGAAAGGTCACATCAACTGCAGTTCCTTATCTCACCAGTTGGAGGGTAAAATGGTCATTTTACAAACACAATGTGGTATGAATGATAATTGGGATTCAAATGTGGTAGAAGTGATAACTTTTGGGCAAAATGTGGTACCCAATCTAATTTTCCCTATCTTTTTCTCCCTTTTGGTCAATATTTTATATTATTTTTCTATTATATCTACTTTTTGTAACAGAAAATATATTTTCTGATTCTACTTATTTGTCATTTAATAATTTTTATATTTTTTTGTTAATTTTGGCCGTTTAGATTCGATTAGTAGAATCATTCCAAAATTATTTTGTATGACAATCCGTTTTCAAAATTTCCACCACAATTGTTAGTTAGAAATACGTGTACATTGAATTACTAGTGATGTCATGCGCAAACAAAACCTATGAATGAATATTCAACAGCGAAGATAATACATTGAATTCATTTGGTCAGAGAGACAAGACAAAAGAGTCCAAGCGAGACCACTCCTCAGAATCGATGAGATTAAAAAAAAAAGGAGCGACTAATATTTGGGCCTAAAGGCCTATCATGATAAAATTATTTTCTCTTAGATTCAATTAATAGCCCATAAATATAGGCCCACTTCAATTAAACCTACCTGTATATTGGTTCTCCTATAAGTTGCTCCTTTCATCTTTCTCGCAAAACCCTAGAGCTAAGCCGCGCCGAGAGCATTTTACATCTTCAATCTTCTGTCGCAGGCTGTTGTAGCAGCAGTGTCTATCGGAGACGATGAAGGTAGCTCCATCTTTTTCTTCTCATCGATTCTCTCGTGGTTTATCACTGTGTTATTTCGTATGATTCATTCGATTTTGTTTGTGTCGCAGTTCAACATCGCCAACCCGACCACCGGGTGCCAAAAGAAGCTCGAGATCGATGACGACCAAAAACTGTAAGATCTTTGCTTTAAATCACATTGTCTTCATAGATTAGTGATTCGTGGTAGATTTGGGATTTGTTCATTTTTGTTTACATTTGGCTTATTGAGTGTACTGTGTGCAATATCTGCTAAGAAGTTAGTAAAATTCTTTGGATCCAAACCTTAGTATCTGATGCAACACTAGGTTACTGGAATCTCTGATGTTTACTGTGTTGGTCTGATATATTCTCTAACCAGTTCTGAATCTAGAAAATCAACAACATAGCTGATTTTAGTCGATTTGGGTTAAGTTATTGAGTTTCATTTTCGTTTGATTGTTGCAGCCGTGCTTTTTTCGACAAGAGGCTCTCTCAGGAAGTTAGCGGAGATGCTTTGGGCGAGGTGCATTTTCTTCTACATGTTCAGTGTTTTTTGGTTATCACTAGTGTTTTCAGTATTGTTAATGATATTGTGTGTTTGAACTACTTGCAGGAATTCAAGGGATACGTATTCAAGATCATGGGAGGTTGTGACAAGCAAGGTTTCCCAATGAAACAGGGAGTTCTGACACCTGGGCGTGTCCGCCTTTTGCTTCACAGAGGTACTTGATTCCACCTCATTGATCAACTTATACAGTTTCATCAGTTCCTCTTTTGCATTAATCTTCTGATCTATTTAATCTGGTTATTGTGATTAGGTACTCCTTGTTTCAGAGGACACGGAAGGAGGACCGGAGAGAGGAGAAGAAAGTCTGTTCGTGGTTGCATTGTGAGCCCTGACCTCTCTGTCCTTAACTTGGTCATTGTGAAGAAGGGTGAAAGCGATCTTCCCGGGCTTACCGACACTGAGAAGCCAAGAATGAGAGGTCCCAAGAGGGCATCAAAGATCCGCAAGTTGTTTAACCTTGGAAAGGAGGATGATGTCAGGAAGTACGTCAACACTTACCGACGTACCTTCACAAACAAGAAGGGTAAGAAAAATCAGATTCTCTTAAAGAGGTAATTGGAAAGTGGTAATATGATTGAAGATTTACTAAAAGCTGTTTCTTCTTTGTGCAGGCAAGAAGGTTAGCAAGGCTCCTAAGATCCAGAGGCTTGTGACTCCATTGACTCTCCAGAGGAAGAGAGCTAGAATTGCTGACAAGAAGAAGAGAATCGCTAAGGCTAACTCTGATGCAGCTGAGTACCAGAAGCTTCTTGCCTCCAGGCTTAAGGAACAGCGTGATCGCCGTAGTGAAAGTTTGGCCAAGAAGAGGTCTAGACTCTCTTCTGCTCCTGCCAAACCCGTTGCTGCTTAAACTGCCCCAAGATTAAGAGATTTCTTTCTCTCTAGTTTGTTTCTGGTCGTATTTAAGTTGCTCCACAGACATGATAACGCCATTTTGAACGCTATTTTTGGTTTCTGCTTTGTGTCAACTTTTCAAGCCTTTTATTATATCAAAGTTTTGAACCTCTAGTACTTCTTTGCTATATTTCGATCTTATTGATAACCCCGTTTGTTGATAATAAATTACTCGAGGTATTCAATCTTTAGACTGTTCTCCCATCTCAGTGTCGATTAAGCTCTTACAATAAAAAAAAACACAACACAAAGCGCTTTGATTAGGTTATAACGTGAGAAATGCGGATACAAAACAAAGAAGATTTGAAGAATTGAATTGGTTACTTCTAAGTGTTACAACACAATCTATTCTTCGTTGGAATCACCTGACCTGGACCTGGAACAATATCAATCTTCTTACCAGCAAGCGATCCAGGATCACCATTACCTTCTCCTTCACCAGCAACAAGACTTTTCTTGTGGACAATGTTGAAAATCTCAGTCAAAACAGTGGAGAAAGCACTCTCCACATTAACTGCATTTAGAGCTGATGTCTCCAAGAAGAAAAGACCTTCTTTCTCCGCGAATTCCTTAGCATCTTCCATCGATATCGCTCGTTGATCTTCAAGATCAGACTTATTCCCAACGAGTATAATCACAATGTTCTTGTCTGCGTTATTTCGCAATTCTTCAAGCCACCGTGGGATATGATCAAATGTTTGACGTCTAGTCACATCGTAAACCAGCATCGCTCCAACCGCTCCTCTGTAATACGCACTTGTCACCGCTCTATACCTATACAACACCGTTTTACATCAATTTCGCACACATGAATAATTAGAATTTGGTAGCTTCGAATCTATGAGATCTAAGTTCGAAAAAGCGGCGGATCCAAGTGTTGTAAAAGGAAAGCGAAAAGCAATTTTAGGAAGTTTGAGATTACCGTTCTTGGCCGGCGGTGTCCCAGATCTGAGCTTTGACACTCTTATGGTCGATAACAAGTGTTCGAGTTTGAAATTCGACGCCGATGGTAGCTTTGGAATCTAAGCTGAACTCGTTTCTAGCATACCGAGACAGTATCTGGGATTTGCCAACACCAGAGTCTCCGATCAACACCAGCTTGAAGACGTAGTCAATCTTCTGCGACGGGTCTCCGTATCCTCCTCCACTCGCCATTTTCGCCGAAATCCTCTGTTTTCAACAATGGTGAAGTAAAAAGGATGGAAGAAGAAGAAATGTTTGTCTTTGGCAATGCTTACGTGTCAGACGCATGTTTTCCGGTGATACTAATAATGTAAATTCAAACAAATTACGAGGGCCAAATCGAAATTAAATGTAATGGGCTCAAACCCAGTCTAAACTCAAAGCCCAAAATATGGAACATAAGCCCAAACTAATTTTGGATTTTAGATTTCATAATTCGTAAATCAGAAGAAATTTCGATTTCCTTTTTTTATTCTTTCAGATTTCTAGTTTTTGGTTTTTTGTTTTTGTGTATAAATAAAGCGGCTTATGAGATCTCTGCTCTCATCATCATTCAATTTACACAGAGTCAGAGACAGAGAGACAAGTATGGAAGAGTTGCTACCGCACGATGTGATAGAGTATCATATTCTGGAGAGGCTTGATGTGAAAACCCTCCTCAGGTTCAAGTCTGTCTCCAAGCAATGGATATCTACTATCGAATCCCCTTGTTTCCAGAAAAGACAGCTGACCCACAATCGTAGCCAATCCGGAGGAGGAGATCCATGTGTCCTTTTGGTGTCGGTTCTTGATGACAATGAGAAGATCATGGACATTGAAGCTCTAAGAACATTGGTTGTCGGGTCATCATCAGTTTCCGTTCAGATCCCTACTCCATGGGAGAACAAGTTATACGACGTTTGCAGTACTAGTTGTGACGGTTTGATATGCCTCTACGATCTCTATGATCTGCCGAGTATTGTCCTTAATCCCACCACTCGATGGCATCGAACTTTCCCTCTATGTAACTATCAACTAGTCGCTGCCGAGAAGAGAAAGAGAGACGAGTTTTTTGAAGTCCCATACCCTTCTCCTGGATTTGGTAAAGACAAAATCAGTGGAACATACAAGCCTGTTTGGTTATATAATTCCTCTGAGTTAGGCCTAAACGACAAGCCTACTACTTGTGAAGTTTTTGATTTTGCCACCAACACTTGGAGGTACCTTGTCCCTTCGTCTCCTCATCTGATTCTTCACACCCAAGATCCTGTTTATGTAGATGGGTCACTTCATTGGTTCACTGCCTTGTCACACGAGGGTGAAACTATGGTTTTGTCATTGGATCTTCACACTGAAACTTTCCAAGTCAACTCTAAAGCTCCCTTTCTCAATGTCCCTGATCCCGTTAAGATCGTCATGTGCAACCTGTATGATCGTTTGTGCGTATCCGAGGAAAAGGGGCCTAACCAAGTCATATGGTCGTTGGATGGTTCAGACCACAAGACATGGAAGCAAATATATTCCATAGATATCATTATCACAGCTACTTTGTTTCCCAAGCACATGTTGGCACTCGCACCTCTAGCGGTTTTGGACAAGGACAAGTTAATGTTTTATGATCGTGAATCTGGGGGTGCATTGGTAACACATGATCCCAAAACCAAAGCTTATGATTATGCTTACACATCTAAACTCTCTTCATACTTTGTTTGTTATTTCCCGAGTTTAATCTCTATTTTGTAAACTTAATTATTTGCCCAAACATTCGAGTTTCTAATAAATGTTTGCTCACTAGTCAGTGCTTCCGATTATAGATGAATTTGTTCGTATGCTTAATTAAATTTGTTCTTTGTTGATATCTGATGGCTCTTGTTGTGCTTAAGATTATAAAGCTTAGCTCTTATAATCTTGATTATGATCTCCTTCTTCACGTGTTCTTGGTTAGTAAAGTTCAGTTCATTCATTGTACTTAGGAGGATCTGCTTCGTGGCTTAGCAGCAATGATTTTATCCAAATAGATTGAATTTAATTTCTTAACCGAGCTGAGTTTCCTTTGAAGGAAAGATCTTGTGCTTAAGCCTTTTAGTTTTAGCAAACTTGATGCCAGAATTATATATAACCCTCTTTTCCGATTACACTTAAAACGTGTGATCTTGGCAAATTGTTCTTGGAGGATTTGAGATTTCGGTTCTTGGCCAAATTGTTCTTCTTGCCAAGAACGGGAATTTCAAACTCTCCAAGAACAATTTGCCAAGATCACGTTTTAAGCGTATGACAAAACTTACATCCCCTTATGCAGAATGATTTGTGGAAGCTGTCGAAATTTGTTCTCTCTTCTCTTTATTCTCGAGATTAAGATAAGTTTTTAAAACCTCGTAACTCCTAACTAGGAGGCTCAAACAAGGATTGTGATACGTTTTAGACCTAAAACACTGAAGGCTATGTTTTTCTAGAATCATTTAAAGAAATGAGGATTAAGAGATGATGATGCTAGACTATAGTGTTTTAAGTCTAAATAGAAAACATGAAAATACAAGCATACCAATGTTCTTGGAGAGTTTGAGATTCTCGTTCTTGGCCAAATTGTTTGATAGCACCAAACTGTTCTTCCCTTGCTAGTTGTTATGAATAAATTAGATATTATAATTATAGAGAAGGCCGCTAACATACAATTATGATGTATCTTTTGTTAATGGGAGATTACCATCGAAGTCATGATGGATCATTAGAGATGAAGAAGGAATTTATCTTGGTTCATGGTAAGGCCAACTTTGAATGCTTTTGAAAGTGAACTACAATAATTAATTATGGTCATGCAATTGTTGACGCAAAGGGTATAAAAGAGTTATACTTTCTAAGGAGTTATGAATCTAATCAATTTGAAGAAGTCAAATTCGAGTGGATACCAAGGGAATACGAGTGCTAACATTCTAGCAAAGAATGATATTCCAAATATATATTTGATGTTTTAAAGTTTGTTTGATTTTTATAATACAGAATTCAAAACAAAAAGAAACGTTAAAATACGCGAAGTGTGCTTCCTCAGTACACATATACTTCTTCTCTTCATCAAACTCCTTATACAAATATCCAAACAAAAATGATGGTTATAGTATCTAATATTATAAATGTGTTTCTCTACCCCAACATTTATTGTCTTAATTGTGAAGACTATTTAAAAGAATAATGAAAACACTTAGAAAATCATAATAATAAATTATAAAAAGAAATATATAATATTTTGAATCTAATTAAGGTAGTACAACCAAATTTAGACGTCTTCATGACATATTCATTACTTTCAAGTTTTCTAAACTTGTTTATGGCTAGTATCTAATTAGTTTCTACTAGAATTTTAGCTCTAGCCATGGACAACTGATGACGAGCCGGAAATCTTTCGGCTAAATACGATTTATTATATTAATTTTAGTTTTAATTGATAAGTTTTTTTTTAACTCTTGTACTTGTTTTAGCCTTGGACGTCAGAGGGGTTAAACTACAATATTCACAGTCATTAGCCGAGTGTCTTCCCATAAATAAAGCTTTGGAGATATCTTCCCACCTTAATCCGAATCTCTTGGTTTTAGCTACCAATATCTTATTCTCTTTTTGAGTTCACATTTCCTAAATGTAGAATTAGATTTTAGTAACCTAACGAGATCCTAAAAACGTCTGTTATTTCACTCAATACTCAATTATTAGGCAAATATGGTACACATGTCATATAAAGAAGAATAAAAAGCTAACAAGATCCCTAAAAGAGTTTATAAAAAAGCTAACAAGATCCTTAAAATAGTTTATAAAACAGCAAAGACGTGTTTAAATATGTGTACAACTTCTAACCCCCAATTTAATTTCTTGACCACGAAACCACAGTTAAAATTTGGTTTAGAGAAAAACTTAACTTTGCTCAAATAGTGGGCTCTTGTTACTGAGGCCCATAACGAGACGACGTCGTTGTTGCAATCGACCTATCTGGATCGGTAAGAAAATTGTGCAAGTCGTTTTCATTCACCAAAGCGAAGCTTTATTCGCTTGTTTGAGCGACGACGAGTGGAAAAAAATGGAGGAAGAAGAGCACGAGGTTTACGGCGGAGAAATCCCTGAAGTCGACGAGACGGATGTTCCCGATCCGGATATCGATATGTCTGCCGCTGCCGATGATGACGCCGTTACGGTCTGCTTCTGTTTCGCTCGATTTGATATTGTATTTCGTGTGTATACATCTGTTTGATTTTTGTTGTTTTGATTTCGTTGGAATCAGGAGCTTGCTGAGATGAAGAAGAGATTGAAGGAGATGGAGGAAGAAGCTGCTGCGCTACGCGAGATGCAAGCAAAAGTCGAAAAAGAAATGGGAGCTACTCAAGGTTTTGTGGCTCTTTCGTTTTTTTTTTGATCATGTGTTGAATTCGTTTGCTCGAGACTATCTTTGAATTTGATATACTAGGAGGAATCGGTTGATTGTATAGATCAATTTTAGGAAATTGAACTTCTGTTTTTTGCAAAAAAATTGTTTCAGATCCTGCTAGTATGGCTGCAAATCAAGAAGGAAAGGAGGAGGTGGATGCTCGATCAGTTTATGTTGGCAATGTAAGTAAGCTTATTTTCTACTTCAAGGTTGCTCTTCTGTGCTTTCTTTTTGCTTGAATCATTGTTTCATCTAAACGGCTTTGATCTGTTGCGAATCTTTAATGTGGATTAGCTTTGAGAAAAGAACTACTTTCAATTGTATCTTAGCTTTGTTCTTTACCCGTTAGATTACTGTTAGAATCAGTATTAAGATTGTTTCTCTAACTTTAATGTTGTTAAGTGTGATTTTTTCTTTCTGGCTTGGTTATCTTTGGTAAGTTTATTATACCTGAAGTGTGTTGAATGTTGTTTCTCGTATGAATGATTTGCAGCTTTAGTTTCATAGTTTGACCTCTATGTCCTATATAATCGCAGGGTTGTTCTCATAACTGAAGTTCTTAATAGCTCTGGGTTCTCAACTAAGTTTTGTGGCTGTCTTGCTAGTTTTCTTGTTGTAGTGTTGAAAAAAATCTTCTTGTGCAATTTGATGATAAAAAAAGCTAAAAAAATGTTGAAAGTAAAAAGAAAAGAGAAGGAAAAAAAAATTGAAAAAAGAAAAAATAAAGCAAAAAAAAATGTGGAGAAAAAGATTGCATGAGTTTGAAAAAAAACTAAAAGGGACTTATTGAGAGGAAAAAAGGGAGTCTGAGTGAGTTGGGTGGGATTAGAAAGCAAGGTTTTTGTAACCTAGAGGAGATGGTGTCTGAAGAGCTGAATCAAGATGCTGGAGTGGATGCTTTCCAACCAAGACCCAAAGCTCTGCAGAGAGGATACTTGGAGCTAATACAGGTTTGGTTGTTTTGCGGGTCGCGAGAGGTTGCAGTTTTATGCTGGCCTTTTAACATGTATTTTTGCCGCACGCTGTTAAAATCAAGAATCTCATAGCGTTTATGTTCCATACATATCTTAGGGTCTAATGTTAGACATGGAAGATTGCTTTAGAGCACACAAGTTTGTCACTTGGCTTCCCTTAGTGAAGTGGTTAAGTTACCTATCTGTTATGTGCTCAGTGAGTCATGGTTTTAGCTGCAATAAGAATACTTGTGTTATATAAGACCTCATTTTCCACCCTGCAGGTCGATTATGCCTGTACACCTGAAGAAGTGCAACTACATTTCCAAACATGCGGAACAGTCAACCGTGTAACCATTCTAATGGACAAGTTTGGACAGCCAAAGGGATTTGCTTATGTGGAGTTTGTAGAAGTCGAAGCCGTGCAAGAAGCTCTGCAACTGAATGAATCAGAGCTACATGGTCGGCAACTGAAGGTATCTTCTCGTACTAAAACCAATGCTGAAGGAAATGGACAGTTCATTGATCTCAGTCTTCTGTTTTGTTCTTTATTTCAGGTCTCACCTAAGCGAACCAATGTTCCTGGAATGAAACAGTATCATCCTGGTCGTTTCAACCCTTCAATGGGATACCGCTTTCGCAGACCCTTTGTGCCTCCTTATTTTTATTCCCCATATGGATACGGGTAAGTTTAAATTCTGCATATTTACCATCAGTTACACAAATGGCTCTCTCTTTTTCGTCTCACACGACAATGCCTCGTGCAGGAAGGCTCCTAGGTTCAGAAGGCCAATGCGGTACATGCCTTACCAATAGAAACCGTTCCACTAGAATAAGAACCAAAGAAGAATATCGATGACAGAGATGATGCCTAGAGAATAGAGGTCGTCACTCGTCCCTATATTTCCAGCTTTATTTATGAATATGACTTTGCTTTCTTTTTTGCACCTGAACTTCCTTCTGAATGGGTCATGTACGGATGAGATTATAAGCTTTTGTTTCCTTAGATATGATTATGTGGTCGATTTACTTTCAGTTTATATCTTTGTTATTGCTTACTTTCATCCAAAGCTGGCTAAATAAGTAAACCGAAGAATCGTCCATGACCCAGGCACATGCACCACCCAAAAATCAAAACCTAGGTGCCATACCGTAGCGGATATTCGAACTTTTTGTGAAACAACACCATATAAGAAGATGGGTGTTACGTAAACAAGCCTCTAGAATGCAATCGAAATATAAAGATTAGTAGAACCAATTGCGAACATTATTCATAAACTAGAATGTTTTGGCAAATACTCAAGTTTACAAAATAGAAATTAAACTCGGGAAATAACAAACAACTCTTGCCCAACGTTTAGATGTGTAAGGCAAATCATAAGATTCGGTACCTGGATCATGTATTAGGAATGCATTGCCCAGTTCACGATCATAAAACAATAACTTGTCCTTGTCCAAAACTGCTAGTGGTGTGAATGCGAATCTGGTATTCCCGAACAAAGAAGAAGTGATCATGAGATCTATGGCATATATTTGCTTCCATGTCTTGTGGTCTGAATCATCCAACGACCATATGACTTGGTTGGGCCACTTTTCCTCGGACACGCACAAACGATCATCGAGGTTGCACATGACGATCTTATATTCACCAGAGACATTGAGAAAGGGAGCTTTAGAGATGACTTGGAAAATTTCGGAGTGAAGATCCAAAGACAAAACCATGGTTTCACCCTCGTGTGACAAGGCAGTGAACCAATGAAGTGACCCATCTACATAAACAGGATATTGGGTGTGAAGAATCAGATGAGGGGAAGCAGGGAAAATGTATCTCCAAGCGTTGGTGGCAAAATCAAAAACTTCACAAGTAGTAGGCTTGTCGTTTAGGCCTAACTCAGCTGAATTATATAACCAAACTGGCTTGTATGTGCCGCTGATTTTGTCTTTGCCAAATCCAGGAGTAGGGTATGGGACTTCAAAGCACTCGTCTCTCTCACCCTTGTCGGCAGCGACTAGTTGATAGTTGCATTTAGGGAAAGTTCGATGCCATCGAGTGGTGGGATTGACGACAATACTCGGCAGTTCATAGAAACTGTAGAGGCATATCAGACCATCACAGCTAGTATTGCAAACGTCGTATAGCTTGTCCTCCCAAGGAGTAGGGATCTGAACAGAAGCTGATGATGACCCCACCTCCAACGTTCTCAGAGCTTCAAAGCTTGGATCTTGTTGACGAGCAGAAGGATCATATAAGGACACCAAAAGCACATGTGGATCTCCTGATGATTGGCTAAGATGGTGGATCAACTGTCTTTCTTGGAAACAAGGGGATTGGATAGTAGATATCCATTGCTTAGATACAGACTTGAACTTGAGGAGGGTTTTTACATCAAGCCTCTTCAGAATATGAAACTCTATCACATCGTGTGGGAACAACTCTTCCATGCTTTGTCTCTTTCTTTCAACGATGAAGAGAAGGAAAGAGATCAATATATATATACATACTTGTCATCTGAGTCCCATTCCAACTAGGACTCCTAAAAAAAAAGGAAAACTTTGACATCTAAAATTTATGATTATCGTTGACAAAAAAAATAAAAAAATATATGAATATCTAAAATTTAAGGCTTTGTTGTTATTTCTTGTAAATCTAAAAATTACGATAATCAAGTTAGATTTTTTTTTAATTGAAAGTTTATCTAAAAATTACAAAACAACGATTTGCTCAAGACGAGTAAATAAAGTCCGAATCGTTTTTGTGAGAAAATCTGTTAAGAGTTTCATTATTTTAAAATGGAAGAGCTAAAGAGACTGGAGAAGTTTCAGAGTGTTGTATCATCCATTACTTGTCACGGTTTACTTTCTTCTTCTTCTTCTTCTTCAACCTCCGATTCAGCTTCTTCTTCTCGCTTCATCTCCAATCTCGTCCTTTTCCTGGTAACCATAATAAAGTTTAGGTTTTTCGATTTTTTCACTTTTGGACACTCGGGAAAAAAATCTAAATTTGATTCTTATTTCAAGGTACAACCATGCGGCGAACTCGATTTAGAATCGAAACTGGGTCTAGTCTCTGAGTTTTTACCGAAAGTAAGTAAAGCTAGATTCTTTAACTAGTTTTCAATGAGCCTAATAGATTTATACATACCCCTCTTTCAATGTGTTTTGTTTCCATTACCTTAGATCTCAGGACCTTTCCTGGAAAAGATATCGAGTTCACTTGAGCTAGATGATGAAGCTACTACACCAGTTAACACAATTTCAGGTTCTACTCTCTGTATACACTATCTGATTGGCTTTAAAAGTTTATTCTTGATGATGTCCCAAACACATGTAGTTCCTCTGCAACTTCGATTAATTCTGAGTATTCTTAATGTATAACTGTGCGTGATCGTTCAATTTTTATGCAGCAGAGTCTGAAAAGAGTTATGTGAAGAGGAGTGTCATGGACAATGTTGATCCTTTCATGTCACAGAAGCACCAAGAAGTTGTGGCAATGGTCGGGCTAGATGCAATGAAAAGAGCAAACTCTACACTTGAGGATTTCGTATGTTTTTCCTCTTGCAAATGCATTGCTATTCACTGTCTTGACTGATTGAGTTAGCTAATCATAGATTAGGGAAGAATGAACTTGTTTATTGAGTTATGCAAGTGTTATGTCTCATGATTTATGAATTTGCTGGTGTTAGTAACTGTCCATATCCTGTTGCAGTCCAGGTCTTATTTCATGTTCCATCGGTTGGATATTAACGAACCGCAGTCAATATTCAGATATTTACCAGTGCTTTCATTCACAGAGAGTTACATATATCAGGTAATAGTTTTTGTATTTCTGTTGTTTTCTCCCTCATGTCTATAAGATTTTCTTTGTTAAGTTAATGTGCGCTGCAACAATGACAATGTAACCTGAATCTAAGAAATGTAGGTCTTTTGTTTCTGTAGATGGATGCTCTTAATGAGAAGATAGTCAGTGAATCAGCTCGTGGATCCCAAGTCATTGTAAGATGGCATGTGTAATAGTTAGGAGTATGAGAATCACCAATTCAGTGTACAAGCTAATGGTTTGAGATGCAGTATTCAAGTCATGGATGGAATGCTGAATCACGAGTTTTGTTTGAAACTGATCCATTGAAGCTGCTTGGAGATCTGCTTGAACGTGAGGGCCTTTTGACACTAAGGTATTTTCTTGCTAATAACTTTATTTTTCTTACTGTTTTTATCAGGAAAGGGACAAACATATTCACTGATTGTTGTTAATTTGTTGCATGTGTTAGAATACAACAAGAGTTTAAGTCGGGTGAAGAGTATTGGGCGTTAGAAAGAAAGCTATGTCATGCTCTTTCAAACAAAAATAAGGTGACTAGTGCAGTTTATTGTTGTTAAACAATGTGCTGTTTATTGTATTGCAATACATTTACTCATGGTTTCATATATCTATAGATTTGTCTCGAAGATGTGATGAGAGCAATTCATTTGAAGTCTTTTGATTACAGGGTGTTGAATCTTTTACTATACAAGTTGAGAAGAGAAGAGGTAGTACATTCACGTGCTTTGTTTTCTTCTTAATGTGAAGTCATATTCAAACCACTTCTAGTCTCTGATGCATAATAGATTCAAAATTGTATTTGATATATATGTCTTCTCTTCTTTATTTGGAACTTTGGAAAAGGTGAATGAGTTGCATATGGACTTCTTGTCAGTTTCAGAGTTCCTGGTTGAAGTAGCCGATGATCTGTAAATTTCTTTTAAAACCTCTCCATCTACCACAAACACAAAGTTTAAATATTTAAGAATCTGAGTGGTTTCAACTTTACTTTTGCAGGTTCGATTACGAGGTCAGATACCATCAAAGAACTCATTCTAACGTCATGACGATCTTTACTGATCATCTCGATATGGTTTTCTTGTAGGACGATGTTCTTGAGAACAATTTCAATGTATTACGTATGTTTGTAGGAATATTCGGCTCATCGAATGCACCCACTGAACTGGTAAAGAAACGTTAATACAACAATCAAATCAACGTTTCTCTGAAAATCTCTTATAGCTCATTGTTTTTTACAGGCGAAGCGGATATCAGAAGCTGAAGAGAAGTATGAAGAGATTATGAAATCTCTGGATCCACATTTGTCTTCAAATTATCAAAGAAGATGTGAAGAAGCTACAAAAGAAGGTACCAAAATCACAACATCGATCAAATTCGCTGTATTTTGTTTGGTTGACGTAATGAAAAAAGTTTATCAGGTGGGAAAATTTCTGGTCATTCGCTGGGAACATGGAACATACCGGCGGTTATTTCCGACGAAGAAGCATACCGAGCTGCTCAACGGTAAACCGGGATTTAATTAAGGTTGTATACCAGATCAAACCGAGATTTTTTTTGTATCCTTGGCCGAGACATGAATAGGTGTTAGCTTGTGGCCAAACATTCTTCAACCGTAGGATCTTTTCTCGTTACATCTGAGCCGTTTAAAAGGAAAAAATAGTTTGAAGACTTTGTGACTTTTTTTTTTTTTTTTTTACAATAACTTTGTGACCTATTTATGTATCAAAGGAGACAAAAGCCATTGACTATTATAATTGGATCATGCAATAATAATTTCAGTTGTCTTACTGTGAAAGTCTTCTCTTTCTGAAGATCTTTTTTTTTTTTTGTGACTTCATTTTTGAGTAATGTTAGTAAGAAAAAAATTGAAATGCGACAAATCAGGTAACGTGGAAAAAGATAGTCACTGAACGGATCACGCGATTCCACGGAACGTTAGTTTCACGGCTTTTCTTTCGTGTATTGTTATTTTCCAAACTCTTTTTCAATTTAATTTTATAATTTGATTTTTCAAAATGAATAAAAAGAATGATCCAAATTTCACGGGTTTAGGTATATTTTCAGTTCTTCCTGAGAAAAAAAAAAGCTTGTTTGTGGCTTCTTTTAATTTTTTTCACTTGTTTAAATTTACGCATTTATTTCAAATAAATAGTATTTATTCGATACACCAAAGATTTACACTTTATATTTTAAAGAGGTGATACCAAAGTCGATGGCAATAAATTGTAACCGAAATTCTCCTTTAAAATTTGGTGTGAATAGTAGTTAATGATCATCACTGGTCCATGGACCATTCCAAAATCTACTCCTTTTAATTATCATGTCGATTGAAAACTCAGCTAATATGTAAAAAAAAAGTAATCATTCGAGTGGTTACTTGTACTGTACTTTTGATTCAAACCAAAAAAAAAAAGAGAGAAAAGAATCATTACTTTAAGAAGAACTAATTTTTTCTAAAAATGATAAAAATGTCACATAAAGTACTAGATATACGAATAGTCAGCGCCGGCTCAAACATATGCTAGGCCCTGGGGCAAAAAAAAAAGATAAAGTAACAAGATCATTTTACAACAGAGATTTGGCCCAATAAATCAATAGAAGTTTTTGGAATTATTGGTTTAGAGTATTACAATATTTAATTTGGGCCCAAAAAAATTTTAAAAAGAAAAATTACGTTATGCATAAAAGTTATGGGCCCTTTTTTTAATAATTATTTTCTTTTCTCTATTATACTTGCACAGAATTTTGTTTTTTTGGTTATTCTTGCAAGAAAAAAAAAATGTGTGGGCCCCTTTTGTTTGTGGGCCCCTGGTGATTGCCCAGCTTGCCCCCCATGCTAAGCCGGCACTGCGAATAGTAAATGTACAAGTTTATGGAGAAAACGATACTGCGAAAATTGTTGGAAAACAGCAGCAGAAAGAGACACACATTATTATTAAAATATTAAGGGGACAGATGTTCACATTTAATAACATAAGGGGTTTGATTGGTGAACAATTTTAAAGCTGTACAGTTTTGTACAGCTTTGACAGTTACCAATCACAAAAGCTTTATGAAAAGCGGTACAGATAACACAAACAGTTTTTTTTGGACAAAAACAAAAACAAATTAAAACGGTTATGGTTAAATACGGTTACGATTAAATACGGTTATAACGGTTACGGTTAAATACGGTTATAACGGTTACGGTTAAATACGGTTACGGTTACAACGGTACAAAAACAAGTTTTTTTTTGGACAAAAATAAAAACAGATTAAAATAATAAAAACTATATCAAACTAAAATTAGCTCTTCACTATTTTTTAGGCATGACCACGGTTACGGTTATTACGGTTACAATTAATTAATCACCGGTTACGATTATATATATTTTTTTTAAATGTAACATTAACTATTATATATACGGTTAAAACGGTTACGGTTAAATACTGTTACGGTTACAACGGTTACGGTTAAATACGATTACGGTTAATTAACGGTTACAATTAATATATTTTTTAACCGTAACTAATTATTTTTTACAAATTAGAAACTCAAAAAAAATTAGTGCTTGTTACAATGGGTCTTCATAATTACATTCGACGTTCCAATATTGCTGATGATGATTTTGAGACCGATGCAGAAAATGAAAATGATAATGGACAACATGATGTAGATGTAAGTGTGGCCAATGAAATAGAAGAGGTGGAAACATCGAGAAGTGGAGCATATATGGCAGATGTACGTAATCAAATAGCAGATTTGTTATGGGAAGCTCGTACTTAATTTCAATTGTTTATGTGTTTACGTATGTTTAAATTCTCTATGTATGTTTGAGACATTGTATTTCAGATTAAAAAATTACTAAAATTAATTTTAGTAAATCAGTTTTAATGTTTTTATTTTATAATAAAGAAAAAGATATTTTTATTTATTTTAGGACTAGTTAGTTCATATTATTATTCTAACAATAAAATATTGTTCATTCTGTATAATTTTATTTTTCATATGTAATTATATATTAAAGTACATTTCTATGTAATTTTTTTTTCTTTCTAAACTCTGAATATTATTTACTATGTGTACCGCTATAATGTTTCCAATCAGAGTAAATTTTTAAAATTTGTTCTGCGTTTTTTTTTTTGTACAGCTTTGGTGTTTTATTCTTTTGTACAGCTTTGCACTATTCCCTAACAGCTAACAGCTCCAGCTAACAGCTCCAGCTAACAGCTAACAGCTTGTTACCAATCAGACCCAAGATTGTTCAAGTTATTAATTGAATGCAGTCAAAATTATAAAAATGTGGCATCCTTCTTCCTCTTCTTCATTTATTGCTCTTGGTAAATATTTACCTCTTTTCTCATTTTGTTCAAAAGACAAATCTCAGTCAAACTTGTGATTTTTACTACACTATTACTACTCAGTAATTTTCCTATTCCCTTACTATTATGGGATGATAAAAGAAACCCCATTTCCCTATTAGCTTACTATTTTCTGATGAAAAAAGGAAACTCCAAATTTCCCTATTCGTTTACTATTTCCTGATGATAAAAGGAAACCCCAATTTGATGTGTCAGTAAATAGATACTTACCAGTGAAATGTTATTCAACTCTTTTTTAACCGTTGAACATTCCATTCAACATTTAGATTGTTGAGAAAGCTAGTAGTATTAGTAATGAGTTTGGAACCATAAAGCATTTATGTAAGTACACCAAAAAGAAGCATATAAGTCCAAATATCTTGGTATTAAGCATGTTGCAAGGCATTACTGGTTGAATAAATGGACGACATGTTGCTATGCGAACTTGGTCAACACTAGGCTCTTCTTGGTTCTAGCTAATAACCAACATTGACCCATTTTTTGTCTCAAGGATTTGTACATTTTTAATCCGGTTTATTATATACTCCAATATATTCAAAATACAAAACATGTATCAATCAGTAGGAGATGTACAAAAAACTAATGAACAATGCAAAGAGAGATATCCAAAAGAAATGAAAAAAGAATAAAAGGAAAGGAAAAGAGAGAAAGAGAAGAAAGATTGAAGTGACACATAGAAAGAAGGCTACTTCTCTTCTCTGATATGTATCCTCCTATTCTGTCTCCCCCACTCTGTCTTGTTCCTTTCACTCCTCCTTTCCCTTAATTACCATTTTACCCCTTCTCTTCCCTTATCTCTCTCTCCTTACTCATTTCACTTCTGATCCAAAAAAAAAAAACTTCTTCTAACTTCATCATCTCTCTCTCTCTCTCTCTGCAGTTTTTCTTTTTCAATTCAAACAAATTCTTGAAATTTCAATAGACCCACATGAAGCTCCTCCTGCATAGTAGTAATTCTTGAATCCATCTCAAAATGTTAGCTATTTACAAATCAACACTTCTTCTTCTTCTTCTCATTGTTCTCATCACTCCACAAGTCTCATCCTTTCTTCAACCTGTCCAACCTCCGAATTCTCCTCAAGTAATCAACAAACCCATCTTTCTCAACTCAATTCCCCTCAAATCAAACAATGTTTCTTCTCATTTCATTGATCTAAAGTTTTTTCTTCCTTTTGATATTTTTTCAGTTGGCTTTGATTGAAGATAAAGCAAGATTAGGTTCTACACCACCAAGCTGCCACAACAGATGCAACAACTGCCATCCTTGCATGGCTATTCAAGTACCAACTCTCCCAACTCGCTCCCGGTTCACACGAGTTAACCCGTTTTCCGGTGGATTCGTACGACCACCTTCTTCTCTAACCACCGTTCTTGATCAGTACTCTAATTACAAACCTATGGGATGGAAATGTCATTGCAATGGCCACTTTTATAATCCTTAATTCATGGTTTGATCTCTCTATCTCTCTCTGTTTTTTTTTATATAAGTTTCTAAAATATTGATTTTTGTGGGAGCAGAGGTGTTCTTTGGATTCTTTGTAAATGTACGGCTCAATTTGTAAATAATCAAAAAGTTCCATGATTATTTTGAAATTTTATTTGAGAGAAATAGTCCCCTGTAACTACTTACTTGCGTCATTCATTTCTTTCAACACTTTTTTTTGCTTTAATTCATTAATCTTTATATTGATTCCTTAACGTTTGCATGTTCACAATTTATTTTCATCAGCTTTTTCAGCTTTTTATTATTTTTTACTGACAGAACAGAACTATTTAAGCTTAAACTGTAATTATAACCAGTTACTTTCACAAATTTTTAATTTAATTTTGGAAAAAATAATGGATTTAGATTTGATTTGAATGGAACAACACACTGTCAAAAATTGATTAATCAATTTTGTCTCACCTGCTTCCACTGTCCTACACGTCACTGTTTGAGTCTCCTTCTCGTGAATCTTCTGTAGACCCATTATCTGAGTGAAGCTTAACTTCGTACAATTATTTACTCTACTTCTAAGTTTTTCTTCTTCTTTGTTTTGTAGCTTCAAAATAATTTAGTAATCAATTAACATAACATAACTATGAGTCTAACCAAAACTATGTGCATTTTTTGTCTTTAGTCTTTACTGTTAATTGACAAACACAAAAAAAATCTATTTAATTTTTTTGACGGTGATTTTGCTATGCGTGATTCTTGTTACTAGAGTTGCTTTACACGAATATAAAACATATCGAAAGGATAGGTCATAAGTTTTAAGGGTGTGAATGGAGACACTTGTAATGCGGATTTCAAAGCGGTTTTGGTAAAACCGCTTTACTTTCACCAGTCACAAGTTTTTCTAAAAATTGTGGTTTTAAGAAAACCAAAAAGTAAAACCGCATAATGTATAAAATTGTCTGCTGAATTAAAAAACGCACCCCAATATCTCACCACATCTAATAAGCAGTGGTTTTGTCAATTACGCACTGAATAACTTAAAAAAAATATATATATTTTTTGACTTTTGATTATTAGATATCATATTATCCAACACAATACATTATCTATGATTATAATTTAAAAAACTATAGATTACCACCAAAAAAATTAAAGATTTTTGTTGTTAATACTAAAAATTCCATTAAAAAAATTATGGACTTACAAACAAGTAAAACATTATAATTATAATTAATGTTGATAACCCTTACAACTTTTAAATAAATAATAGTTTTATCTAACCACTAGTTTATCAGAATTTCAAACTTCTGAGATGCAGATTTTGCATATGTAATGACAGAGACAAATATAAACAAGTGAGATTTTAATCATGATTTAGATGACATAAAAGCAACAGAAATAACAAATGGAGAACATATGACGCAAATAAGAGACAATATTGCAAATATGTTATGGAAAAATTAAAGTAATAGACAATATTTTTTTAATGTGGTGTACTTTTTTTATGAAAAAATTAGTCAACGCACGTAACAATATGTATGTTACAAAATTAAATTTATATTTTGATCAATTTTTGTATTAGTGGTTTATAAATATCTGTTATTGTCTATTTATTAACACAAAAATAATAATTAATTATTAATATATATAATCTATAATACGCACCGCAAATAGTTTTTTTCACCAATCAAACATTACTATGTACCGCTTATTTTGTACAAACCGCACTTGTCCCACAAATATATTTCTCCCGCACGTCCCGCAGTTGAACCGTACCGCAATGTAATACCGCACTTCTCCCGCACCGCAAAACGCAGTTACCATTCGGAGCCTTATTTTATTGATAAAAGTTGCCGGAAAAAAGGGATTGTTTTATTAATAAACCCATACTAACGATGAGTGAAACGGACTTTAGTTTATTACATATAATCGGCGGCAATAGCAGAGAGAGAGCCAAAGAGTTGTTGGGGTTTCGAGAGCATCACCATGTGATCTCCACCGTCGATCTCGTAGACTTTTGAGACGTTGAAATTGTCGATCATCCAACGAATGAAATTGCAGGGAATGGCTTTGTCTTCACTACTCATTATGTAAACTCGTTGCACTGAACCATACCCTTCCTCGGTAAACTTTGCTTTCTTTGATAGATCCTCTGTGAAAAATGACCCTTGCCTATGCAACATCTTTGCCAGCTCGTAATCCTTCACAACCATCATATAACAAGACACTACAAATAATTAATAATCATCTCATACGTACGTGATTCATATTCGAAAACTTTAGCACATATATAGTTTCTCTAGAAAAAGTTTGACTACAGATTTTGTTGTTTTGGCATAACAAAGTTTAGAGATTAGTCGGGATAATAATACCTCGATGGGACAATTTTGGTAAAGACGAGCCTTCATGAATTTTGGTCCCATCTTCAATAAACTCATTGTCCCATTTCTTGTTTCGTGAGATGAAAATTCACAATCTCCCAAACCTCCAGGCATCTCCATATACTTTTATATCATCAACCAAACCAAGAATTATTTGCATGGTATTAGTCTATTAGACTAGTAGGTCAAATTATAAAAAAGTACAAGTATGAAAATTATTTACGTTATTTTATTGCAAACCTTATCTAGAACGTGAGAAGGCACATGGGTAGTGTCGGGCAAGAAGGCGTTGAGGAACACAAGAACCTTAATCTTCGCCGGAAATATGTCGGCGGCGAGAGCAATGTTGATGCCTCCGAAGCTGGATCCAACGAGAATCACTTGTTCGTTCTCTGGAAGAGCTTTGAGGGTTTCGATCAACGGTTTGGAGTATTCGTCGACGGATTCAACGGCCTGGATTGGTCGTATGTCGATCCCGGAGGCGGCGAGTTCGACGGCAGTAACGCGGTGGCCGGCGGACTCAAGGAGGGGCTTGAGCTTGTACCAGATCCAGGCTCCATGATAAGCGTTGTGAACTAACACGAAGTGGTGTTTCCTCTCCATATGTCTCTCGATCAACGTTTTCTTTTTGGTTGGTTTCTTGCTTGTTTGAGAATAGCGGGATAAAGTTAGATATGACGTTATTATTATATAGTTGGATAAAGTTCATTCATACGCATTATGTTTTTAATAATTTCTTATGTTATGAACACACTTAAAGATATGATAAAATTACTCTTTCAATCTAATAACGGACTAACATGTAATTTTGAATAAGGTAGAATTCTATAACACTTAAAAATATGATTTAATTACTCTTTCAATCTATTAACGGACTAACCCATATGTAACTTTGGAAAAAAAGAACAAAAAAAAAATTTGACATCCGAGATTAGAGATGGACGTAAAAAGGCTTAATTAGCGGAACCAACTGAACACAATAAACACGTGCTTATTAACCCATGTTACACTGTTTAATTGTTTATTGTTACCCGTCAGGCCGTCACCGACCTAAACTCCATATTTGATTAGAGAATCTCCAAAGCTTCCTTATTTGAGTCTAACCGAGACTTTTACCGGCCCATGGGCCGTCAAATACTGTGACTCTCTTTTATTGACTCATTTGAACTTTTTCCTTTTGCCTTTTGCCTTTTGGTACTAATTTTAACTTTTCCTTTTGTACAACGAGATTCGATTCCTTATTTAGGTTGGCTATTTCACCTTGGTGAGTGAGTCGTGTATAGTTGGCTATTTCAGCTGTATTCTAGCCTCATTTCAATGATATTTACTTATTTAGTTAACTTTTTTTTTTAGATGAAAAGTATACTTCCAGTCGATAAAATTTTACATTGATAGTTAGTTTAATAATCAAAGCATTGTTCAGAAAAGAAATTGAGACTTAGTATATAATATTCCTAACTTTTCCGTTTACAAATACATAATCTAGGAAGCACGGAAGCTTCGTCGGAGGTCCGCTTCCCGCTTCGGAATCTTAGTCGGAATCGGAAGTTTTCGGAAGCTTTCGGAAGCTTTCGGAATCTCGCTTCCATAGCGCTTCCAAAAAATTCATTTTGGAAGCTCGTTGGAAGCTTACGATTCTATTATGGAAGCGCAATTTAAAAAATTTGATATCACAAAATAAATAAGAAATATAAAATACTTTTGATAGTTTTTAATACAATAAAAGAAGAACCAAAACTAATTTTGCATACTAATTTTTGTATTTTATTTTTTTAAATATCATACTTAGAAAAATGACAACGGCATGGATCTTTTATTTGGGTGATGTTGGATGATTTACGTGGAAGTAATACAAATGCGTACGTACAATTACATACTCATGTATTTCACATTAGCTAAATAAATCCGCGTAATTAAATAGCAGATAGTTTATACAGTATAATCAGACTCCAAACATCATTATCAAAGTTAACAAACTATTTAATAATTACAAGTTGCACGGAGAAAAAGCAGTTCGTGGACCAACATCGGACTTTTCTCATTCAGACAAGGCCATTAGCGAGCGAGAGTGATAATTGCGATTTACCAAAACGCATCGCAAAGTGTACCACTAACAGAATAAAATCAAAGAGACAAAAGCTTTTCACTTTCTCTTTTCTGTTTTGTTCTCTTTGGTTCTACTCTCCGGACTGAATCTTCCGAGCAGCGATAATTGTTTCCTTTTTTTTTGGGATTTTCTTCTTCGGTACGAGGTTCTTTCCTTTTTTTGCCGTTACCTAAATCTCTGTTTTTGAGATTTGGATTTCTTTTGAAGAAGTTTGACAAAATTTTCTGGGGAATTGAGCATGTTCGTGTTTAAGCATCAGTTTGACTCTTTTTCTATGTAAAGTCTCATCCTTTCAATAGTGAACTTTATCCTTATCCCTAATTCCTCTATACCATACCCGCAAAATCTTAATTTTCAGCTAATTTTGGTTGAATTTAGAAAATTTTTGATTCATCGTTGACAATAATTTCTCCATTAATCTTTCTCTGTAATGTGTCAGATCCCCTAAAAGGTAAGAAACAGATTTTGTGCTAATGTTATTAAATGTGTCTTGTAGATGGAACAAGCTCAATTAATGAGATGAGAATGTTCAGCTTGCAGAAGATGGCTATGGCTTTGACTGTGTTGGTTTTTGCCTCTTTATGCTCATTTGTGTCTCCAGATGCTCAAGGTGATGCCTTTTCTTACTTATCAACTGCTATTTTTTGCTCTCATTTCCTAGTTTTGTTTTTGGCAATTTCTGAGCTTGTTCAGGTTAAAGATTTAGTATCTTTCCCCTAACCATTACATATATTGTTCTTTGCTTTTCCATTTCAGGGGATGCGCTATTTGCCTTGAGGAACTCGTTACGTGCATTGCCCAATCAGCTAAGTGACTGGAATAATAACCAAGTTAATCCTTGCACTTGGTCCCAAGTTATTTGTGATGACAAAAACTTTGTCACTTCTCTGTAAGTCTGGATAACTCTCAACTAGTAACTGCTGTCTCCAACCATTTTTCGTTTAGGTGTTCCTGGCATTTCTTATTTATGGCATTTGTACTCGCAGTACCTTGTCGGACATGAACTTCTCGGGAACCTTGTCTTCAGGAATAGGAATCCTAGAAAATCTCAAGACTCTGTAAGTGCCTTAGATTGAACCTCTCTTTTTGTCTGAAATTCTAGAACATATTATGTTATGAGCATTTCGCCGTTCTTTTTGTATATAGTACTTTAAAGGGTAATGGAATCACGGGTGAAATACCAAAAGACTTTGGAAATCTGACTAGCTTGACTAGTTTGGATTTGGAGGACAATCAGCTAACCGGTCGTATACCATCCACTATTGGTAATCTCAAGAAACTTCAGTTCTTGTAAGTAGTTCTGCCTCACAATGCTGTTAAATCTTGCACATGTTTTAAACCTTTAAGACATAGCAAAGGATCACTCATGTCTTTATTCATTTGTGTATTGGCTGAATAGGACCTTGAGTAGGAACAAACTTAATGGGACTATTCCGGAGTCACTCACGGGTTTACCAAACCTGTTAAATCTGTAAGTTACAGTTCTTTGTGTATATGCTCACCGTCTTTTTGGAAGCATTCTTGTCTTATTTCCATTGTTGGAAACTATGTTTACAGGCTGCTTGATTCCAATAGGCTCAGTGGTCAGATTCCTCAAAGTCTGTTTGAGATTCCAAAATACAAGTATGTTTGACTACTTTATGTTACATCTGAAATTTTCATTTCTTTAGCAGTAGTCTGATCTGGTTTTAATCGACTATAGTTTCACGGCTAACAACTTGACTTGTGGCGGTGGTCAACCTCACCCTTGTGTATCCGCGGTCGCCCATTCAGGTAACTACATTACTTTGTGATTGCTCTGACCGCATTTTCTTTATTTTCAACTGATTCAAAAGTATGAAAGAATGTAGTTCTGCTGAAAACATGTAATCTATGGTGATAGGTGATTCAAGCAAGCCAAAAACTGGCATTATTGCTGGAGTTGTTGCCGGAGTTACAGTTATTCTCTTTGGAATCTTGTTGTTTCTGTTCTGCAAGGATAGGCATAAAGGATATAGACGTGATGTGTTCGTGGATGTTGCAGGTCTGTAATATACCCCGTAGGGAAACCTTTCTTTCGTATTTCATTTTCCGGTATGTTATGATGTACTGATATGCACATTTGTGGAATAAAGAGTCTACAATCTTCACGCTTTACTATTTTTCAGGTGAAGTGGACAGGAGAATTGCATTTGGGCAGTTGAAAAGATTTGCATGGAGAGAGCTTCAATTGGCGACAGATAACTTCAGCGAAAAGAATGTACTCGGTCAAGGAGGTTTTGGGAAAGTTTACAAAGGAGTGCTTCCGGATAACACCAAAGTTGCTGTGAAGAGATTGACGGATTTTGAAAGTCCTGGTGGAGATGCTGCTTTCCAGAGGGAAGTAGAGATGATAAGTGTAGCTGTTCATAGGAATCTACTGCGTCTTATCGGTTTCTGCACCACTCAAACAGAACGCCTTCTGGTTTATCCCTTCATGCAGAATCTAAGTCTTGCACATCGTCTCAGAGAGATTAAAGCGGGCGACCCGGTTCTGGATTGGGAGACTAGGAAACGGATTGCCTTAGGAGCAGCGCGTGGTTTTGAGTATCTTCATGAACATTGCAATCCGAAGATCATACATCGCGATGTGAAAGCAGCAAACGTGTTACTTGATGAAGATTTTGAAGCAGTAGTTGGTGATTTTGGTTTAGCCAAGTTAGTAGATGTTAGAAGGACTAATGTGACAACTCAAGTTCGAGGAACAATGGGTCATATTGCACCAGAATATCTATCAACAGGGAAATCATCAGAGCGAACCGATGTTTTCGGGTATGGAATTATGCTTCTTGAGCTCGTTACAGGACAACGCGCAATAGACTTTTCGCGTTTGGAAGAAGAAGATGATGTCTTGTTACTTGACCACGTATGTATAATCGAATAACCCCACATCAAATAGCTTCTCTCAAGCTTTATTTACCATAATCTTTTGAGTCTTTTTGTTGTGGACAGGTGAAGAAACTGGAAAGAGAGAAGAGATTGGGAGCAATTGTAGATAAGAATTTGGATGGAGAGTATATAAAAGAAGAAGTAGAGATGATGATACAAGTGGCTTTGCTTTGTACACAAGGTTCACCGGAAGACCGACCAGTGATGTCGGAAGTTGTAAGGATGTTAGAAGGAGAAGGGCTTGCGGAGAGATGGGAAGAGTGGCAAAACGTGGAAGTCACGAGACGTCATGAGTTCGAACGGTTGCAGAGAAGATTTGATTGGGGTGAAGATTCTATGCATAACCAAGATGCTATTGAATTATCAGGTGGAAGATGACCAAAAACATCAAATCTTGATTTTACTGTAAAGTTGCCAACTTCACTTTTTTGTTCTTCGGTGAATGAAGAAGTAAAATCAGGTGTAAATCTTGTTTTGTTTCACGATCATGTAACTTTGACTTGTATGAATCCTGTGAATGAAAAGAACCTTGATGTTTTTGTTGACTTTATTCGTTGACCGCAAAAAATCCTTTTTTTTTGTCGTCTTATATTGTCGGGCCTATTACATAGTTGTCTCTTATATGGGCCTATTATGGGTCTTTTGGGATCTGTTTTCTAGGCCTGGGCATTCGGGTATCCGTTCGGGTTCGGTTCTTTTTTTTCGGGTATCGGATCTATTTGGGTAGGGGGTCGAGACCCATTCGGGTATTCTAAAAATTCGGTTCGGGTTCGGGTCGGTTCGGATATTTTAATAAAAAAGCAAAATACCCGAAAATAACCAAAAATACTCGAAATATTTTTGGGTTTGGGTCGGGCTCGGGTTTTTTTACTCGTATATACCCAAATCTAACCGAAATACCCGATTTCTCAAAAATACATTGGTTACTCTTACCCAAATATAACCAAAAATATCTAAAAATACTAAAATTACCCAAAAGAAAACTACATCATTAGTTACTTTTTAACCAAATATATCCATATCCAAATGTATCCGAATTACTCAAAAATACCTAATATATTCGGATTTATGATTGTAATTTTAGGTATTTCGGATATTATAAGTATAAATATAACTAATATTTTAGGTGTATATTTGTATTCGGGTACCCACGGGTATTGGATTCGGTTCGGGTTCGGTTCGGGTTTTTTTCGGGTAGGGGTCTAGGATCCATTCGGGTATTTTTAAAAATCGGTTCGGATTCGGTTCGGATATTTTTTCGGGTTTTTCGGTTCGGGTATTCGGTTCCGGGTATTTTGCTCAGGCCTACTGTTTTCTATCCTAAGTTGTCCTAATATTTTTTTGTTGCCAACTCTGTTTACAATATATAAAAAACTTTATTCACAAAATAGAGATTTCTGTATTCTGACATGAAAATTAATATTTGTGTATTAAAAAAATTCGCCATTTTCATGTTTAAATAGAAAACAAGAAGAATAAAAAAATAACATATGTTAATCATCTCTAAATTTAGTTAGATACAATACCTATGTATTTTCAAAATTTTATGTGCATGATCGAAAATATCCAAAAATATTAAAGATTGAATATGGATAATAATATTAATATTATACATTATCCATTGACAAAAAAAATCTATACATCATTATCATTTGGATACGGATGGAGTATAATTCCCTAATCGCACAAGATCTTTTTGCCTAAGAAGGCAAGCCTCAAGTAATGAGTCAATTCAACATTATAACAAAAAACCAATAAAAAAAGACACAATGAGTGATTTTTCATTTTTCTATAAAACCTAATGAGAGATCACTTTATCTGACATCACATACTTATAGGGCCTCGTTTTTTTAATTATTATTAAATCTCTACTTGGCCTTTTTATATTATCGTTAGCCAGGCGATCACATGCTGTTTCATTTCTTCCATTATTTGATCTTTGCAATCAAATCAACATTTAAACTTTATCTATGATAATCAAACAACACAACATCTAAAGCTCTAAAATGTGTTGTCTTTAAGTTTCGACAGCTCGATACTAAATATGTATGTGGTCTACTGGTCTTCATATCATGTAAAACATATTTAAGCTACACTAACTTCAGTTTGTTTGATTTTCTGCTTAATTATTACTTAAGCAGAAAGTAAAGATACATAATTTGCTTGAGTTTTTGTGTGCTTTCATTCACATAATAACAGTTTGTCTATATGATTCGAATGTTATCTCCAGGCGAAGAGTAAAACAAAAGATCCAAATAATAATTATCATAAACCCTAATTAATAAATACCATACAACTACAACTACAACTACAAGTGATTTCCATTTCACAAAAATCTTATATATATAAACTCTGCAGCGACGGGTACAGACATATGCTAAAGAACATTGACAACAACATGCATATGAGTTATGAAATCTCTGTACTGTACATTCTACAACATGAGTACAAATATATGATGTCTCTACAATATATATAGATATGCAAATAAAATTCTCCAACAAGCACAATTCCAAGAGTAAATTCGATTTGAGTTCCTCCAAAACATACCTGAAAATTAAGACAAAAGAAGGGCTAAGGAATGTCCGAAAATATAGAATCATCCAATAGATGATCAGGCCATGCTGCTGAAGCTGAAGCTGCTGATTCTTGACCGCTTGAAGAAGTGATATTGCTATTGACATCTTCAATACCGTATTGGTTTAAAATCAGATCATCATTCACATGAGCAGAAGGTAGATGACTCTGAGTTGTGCTGGAGGGATCCGAGAGCCAGATTGGAGACACCGGTAGGTTTTCTCTTTGAGTGAAGAATTTGAAGTGATTGTCATCAAGATTCTGAGGGAAAACAGATGATGGTTCCATGTTGGAATTTAGGGTTTTCAGGGATGGTAAGCTGTTGAAGTCCTGAAGATATGAACCGAGGAAACCGAGGTCGAGATTGTTGCTGGTGGTATTAGTACTGGTCTCTTTGAAGGAGGCAATAGAGTTAAGGAGACTGAGAGTGTCAAAGTCATTAGGGTTAATGCTATTCATGGAAGATGGTTGAAGAAGGTATTGGAACAATTGGAGTTTGGCCATCTCGGTTTGGAGTTTGAGTATAGTGTGTTCTTGATCAATAGGAAACTGTTGCTGCAGATCAACAAAGCCTCTCAGGTTAGAAGACAAAGTCATGAGCTGAGATAAGCCAGAGAAGATATCGGTTCTTGGACGATGAGTCATTGGGTCAAAACCCATCTGAATCAGCTTTTTCTTCAAATGAGTGTTCCAGAAATTCTTGATCTCGTTATCTGTTCTCCCTGGTAACTGATTTGCAATCGTTGACCACCTTATAACATCATCATTCATAAGCAAGAAGTATAAGATAATAATCTGGTACACAAACAAAACCGTTGACTTAAAAATCAAAACAATCACAAGATCAATTAATTACTTGTTTCCAAGAACTGAATGAAGGTTCAAGATAGTCTGTTCCTCGTCCGGAGAGAATCTCCCTCTCTTGATGTCAGGTCTCAAGTAATTAGTCCATCTTAGCCTGCAACTCTTCCCACACCTGTTAAGACCTGCACAGATACAATCACATGAGAAGCTTAGACTCATCAAGCTTTAATTTAAGAAAGAAACAAAACAGAAAGCAGTACCAGCGAGTTTGGGAAGGGCTCTCCAGCTACTATGACCATGTTTTTGGACATAGTTGACAAGTTTCTCATCTTCATCAGGAGTCCAAGGACCTTTCTTGAGACCAGAGTCATCACAGATAGGAGATCTTCCCATGTTAGATGATCTTCTCTGTATCTAAATCAACAAATGGTTTATTTTCTTCCTTCCTTCCTTCTCTATACTGTTATAATTGTCTCTGAGATTTGGTTGCTTGCCTTCTTCCTTCACAACCACTAACTGCTTCTTATTCCAATTTATATTAAACCTAGCATCCTTTTCTCTTCATGTCCATTCACCACGTGCCTCTTTCCTATTCGCCTACCAAAACAAACCATCATGTCACTTTCACCTTTCAATTCCATTTTTCTAATCATTTTCTTTTATACTCTCACATACGCATTCCCTTACCAGTGTGAAAAAAAATCATTCAATGTAAATTCTTCCTCTTGTCTTAAAGCAACGATCAGTATCATCTCGGGAACAGCCGTCTCCAATGGACAAACACATACCAATCGATCTTATTTTTGTCTTTAATTGGGAAGCAGTTCATAAGTAGCCATCACTATGCCCTAGTACCAAACCCCTGCATTTGTCAAGGAGATCGAATAACAACACATAGTTATTGCTTGGTCTCTTCACGGTCCAAAACTCTAGTCTAGGTTATTGAATGATTCTGCTGATAAACATTCCCCCACACAAAACAAAAACACTACAGATAAACTAAAAGCAAGAAGGGTTTCATCGTCTTTCTTATGAAATCCATAAAAGATCTTCTCCGAGTAGGTGATGATGAAGGAGAAGGGCAATAAAGGGAATTTGACAAGAGGGCTAAACTTTTAGGTTGTATTTTTTTAATCATTGGAATGACAAATAAAAAGAGAAAGGATTCGAAATATAGAAGTCAGCGCCAACAACACATGGCAACAAAAGGGTGGCCAAAGAAGAGACATCTCCTCTGGCACGCAAAATTAGGTTTTCCTCGCATCATCCATTTCCATGGCCTATTAATTTATACATTTAATATTTCATATTAGCTATACTTTAATACCGATAAAAGCTATGATCAATCAACCAAACAAAATGGAAGGCAATGAACCCTAAGAGCTTGTCTCTGAAAATGAGAATGTTCCAAGAATATGAAAAAGAAAGTCCTGAGAGATTATTAAAGCAAGTGAAGGATGATTAAGTCCAATAGTGTAAAAGAAAAAGATGCAGAGTGGGTTTGTTATGACAGTGTGATTTCTTGTTTGACACATCATATGATTAAGTCCTTATATGGCAAAGTTTTAGGTAAAACTTACAGAGATTGCCAATCCCCAAAATGCATTTTTCTAGGAAGCAAAGATACCAAATGAAGAAATTAATTGATTATATATAACAGGAAAAGAATACTATATAGTTACAAGAAAACTTATCAGCTTATGTTTTGTATCATTTTGTGGCAATACATATGATTTGTACTAGTTTTAACGGGTGAGGAACCATTTTTATATTTTAACATCATCCTTAATATTTCCTAAGCGCATTCAATGAAATTTCAGACAGCAATAGCAATGGACAGATCACAAATAAGAATGTCAAGGTAATTCAGGGGCAAGTTTTGGTATAAACAGAAGAAGTACTTACTATTGATGATGGTGACAGGCTTGATATGACAGATTTTGACCACTAGGGAGGAGCTGGTTAGGGGAAAGGTGGGTGCAGAAAATGATCTAAATCTCCACCATCTTTGAAACCTATAAGACTTTCTCCCTTAGCCTTAGTATTGCACCCAATGGCATATCTTGAGCTCTTGTCTTTTTCTTCTGTGTCTTCTATATAATGAAGATCACAGGTTCCGTGCACAAAATTCAAACTGAACGACATAATATCAAGAAACAAAATCTAATTAAGAAATAGAGAAAAATCAAACAAGAAGATGTTTTACCAAATGAGGGCATCAAATCTGTCAGTTTCTAGAAGATATTTTAGTGTATTAATTCAGTAACTGTTGGTGAAAATGAAATGTGATACTCTGAACAGCTTTTGTATATATTTGACCATTATTTAACATATTGTCATTTTAACTCATTTTCACCTTCCCTGCAAGTATAAACATACACGTGAGGCTTGACAAAAGCAACATTGCCTAGAGAACCAAAAAAATACAAGTTTCCTAAGTATTATAAACGAGCATGCAACATTTTCATGTAGAAATTATAAAGCCATAACAGAATACAGATAATGATAGTCATTATCTTAGTTTTATTGTATTTGGAAGCATCTAGATGTTCATAGGTATGGTTTCATTGCATCATATTTAAGCCTACAAGTATCATCATACCATCTTTTGATAAAGAAGTATCATCATACCTAGGTAACATTTAAGCCAACGAATTTAAAAGGGGTTCAAAAAACGACCAAAAGTTCAATTAGTAGCTAGGGAAAGAGAGATTCGAATTGCTTGTTGAATTAGGGTTCCTCGCAGAGTGGAGCAGGTGAAGAAAATATTAAAGAATTAAGGAAAGCAGTATAGGTTTTTACAAAAGTATTATTTATGAAATATGTGATGTCACTTAAACCGTTCTTTTCCTCTAATTAAAAAAAAACAACAACAACAACTTGGTTGTGAATGTCAGATAAACAACTGAATTGCTTCTTCTCCTAAGTTTCAAACCAACACGTCTAAAAGCTCGGACTTTCTATGCAACGAATCAAAATATTTAACACTTTATAGCTATTGTATCTAAATGTGAAAAGCATGAGTCGAGATCATCAGCAAGTAAGATACTTTTAATCAACTTATGCAGATACTATACTGAGCATTTTGCAACCACCTTTTAAATTCCACAAAATCGATAGAAGGAAGTTAAAACACGAAATAAATTTGTGTGGGATTTATCTGCAGTAATGCTATAAACTCTTGATACTTACAGAAGTCAGACGAAACCAAGATGCTCGTGATTCGAATATCATCAGCATCGGTTAGGTTCCTGAATGAGATTCCAATGAGTGACGAAAGTGGTGACTGTAAAACCAAGAAGAACAAATATGAGACACGTGTAACATCACACACGCATATAAACCTATAATCTCCATGACCATCCTCTTTTTCAACTGTTCACATTGTAGCAACCTAATTGGAATACAGAAATTAGTTTCTATTTTATCTCTAGTAATCAATTTAATGGTGGTTACGTATAGCAAAGGTTTAGTTTTATATGATAGTGGTCTAAAAGGCATTAATCTTTTGAAACTCAATATATTATTCAATCTAGAAAGAAAAATTAACAAGAAATCACCGGTTCAAAATCTTCTTGCTGACTCTTCATTTAGAATAGTAAATTAGCACATACTTTTCTCAACGGTTACGCCCAACAATTCTGGAACATCTGCTAAAAAAAGAGCATCGTCACAAGAAACCTCGAGAACATGAAAAATAAAAGAGAATAAGAATGTCTACCATTAATTTATTAAGAAGACAGTCATATATTATATGACCTAAATCGTGTGGTCTTAAGCGGTATTTTTGTTAACTATCAACCACTAAATGTCATTTTAGGTGGCTGAACTTCTTTTGTCGTGGACATCGTTTTACAGCTCAAGATAGTGAAAGACATATATGGATGCTAACAATGGAAGAATATGCCGACATCCAAGAGCTCTATACAATTATATCACTTTGAATACAATACTAGGATCTATCATTTAGTAAAATATATCCATATGCAACAAGGAAAAACAGATGAAGAGGAATAATAACACGAATAAAGTTTCACTGAATGCAAAAAGAAGAAAAACTATAGAGGAATGTGTATATAATGCGTATTTCCTACAAACCAAGTTGCTCAAGAACAATAAGTAATCTAGCTCGTACTTAGTTACGTGTTTAAAATTAAAGGTGCATGTAACCAGAAGTGTTTGTCGAACAAAGTCTAGAGGAAGCAATAGGGAATGCAGGATTTAAACCCTCGCAAAATATCTACCAAATTCAGAACATAGACGAAAATGAAAAGAAAATATGATTTCATGATGTCAGTGTTGATAAGTTTCTCTAAATTTTCAAGAATAGCACCACCTTAGAAAATATACTATGAAGTTCAAGAAGAATTTTGTTACCAGGAATGTCAAAAGGATTACATCTCTTTCCATCCCTGTTCAAGTTGTATGTATCTCCACACCCCTTTTAAGGTATTCATATAATATTTCATTGCGTGATACTTCCTGCAAAAAAGAAAAACATTCAAACAGTTATTCTTGAGGTCACTGCAAATATCAAAAGAGAATGATACTATAGCATGTTGCACATTTAGGATTGTTTAACCTAAATTTGGTTAGACCCAATCTAACAAAGCCCAAACTGAAATCACCATATACAAAACACATGAGCTCAAAGGGAAGAACTAGTAGCTGTCATTAATCAAATAAGAAATTAGTGTCATTCATCAAATAAGAAATTAGTTTTAAAAAGGTTAATTAGTACTCATAGAACAAGCCAGCGATGTGTTTTCTTGGGTATATTAGATACATATATATACCTCAATCATCAAACTAGAAGAAATAAAATTCTAATAATGGGAAATAAACCAACCATTCCTCATCATAGTATATAAGCATCATTTGTCATGCATCTGCATCTATTACAAAGTGGTACAGTAAAAAACAAAGAATGTTTAGAATTGAACAAAAAGGATTAGAGCATCTCCAACCCATCTCTATATTTGCCTCTAAACTCTATTTTAGAGGCAAATTTACTCCAACTCACCTCTATTCTCACCTCTAAAATAGAAATCTCTATTTTTTTCTCTATATATAGAGGTGAGGATAGAGAATCTCTATTTTTTCCTCTATAAATAGAGTTAAACTTTTTAGAGGAATAAATAGAGGAATACATTGGAGTAAAAATAGAGAAAACTCACCTCTATTATAGAGATAGAGGTAAAAATAGGGAAATACATTGGAGATGGTCTTAGTAGTGTGGCTTTATCAACTTGGTTTTAATTGAGTTTACCAAGTTAGTGATGCCTTCTCACTAAAAGCTTTTTATAGGAGTTTTCATCAGAGGTCCACCTTCAGCACATACTAAGATAGATAGGCGATTATTATGGTTAAAAATAATGTATGTAAATCTTTATTAATTTCACAAATCTGCACTAACATCTAGACAACTTGAACATATCTTCTTGAACATATAAACTACCTTTTGAAATTTGAGCTTTACGAGGAAAAAGTAAACAAAGTTAGTGCAAAGTATAAACCAAACAAACGAGATTATTTACTATAAACCAAAGAAACGAGATTATTTCAGTAACTAAATCTTAAACAAGTATAAAAAGTCCAGCTTTCACTTTGAAAAATGGGGGACAAAAAAGGCATAGCTGAATAAAGTTTGTTAACTTTTACCAGTCATGTGATAAAGGTGGAAAGGTAGATTTCTGTCAACTTTTTCATGAATTATGTGCTTGAAAATATGACATTCCCAAGACAGTCCCTTTATAAATCACCAATCAACATAGCTCAAAGCCAGTGATAAGACCATAACAATTTTGAAATACTTACCACAGTATAAGTTTGTATTGTGCTTGGAGCAATCACATTTTTCTTCGTTAAAGATTGTACTGAATGAAGTAAACTATTTATAGATTAGACAAAGAAATGAGATCAGAAGCATCTACAAACCTCATAACCTAAGAGAGGTCGCCACAACACCCGCCATGTTCTTCGAGTTCATCGTTCACTCACCAGCAAGCATCAAGCAGAAGACAAAGAGAAAATCTGAAAGACCCTGTAAAAATAACATTGTTGCTTTTAAGAAGGTAGTAGCTAAAGCAAACAGGCTAAAGTGATATATCTTTTCACGAAAGTGTAAGAGTTTAAAGACAAAAGACTGGGGAAGCTTTTTGCATGAAAAAGTAAGCCACATGGCCTGACTACTCAAAAAAGTACGAAGATCTCTGCATGAACATATACGTAAAGAACAGGATACATAATAGAATAATCTTGACAAAAGCATCATAAAAAGCTGTGCGAAACTACAAAACACATGGTTGGGGTTGGTAAGTCAGGTCTTTAAATTGAGTTCCAATAAAGAAAATAAAGCTATCCAGGAACAAACCTTATAAGTCACCTTTAGATCTGCTCTTTGTCCTAAGCCTTTTGTATTTATTCTAGATTAGTATAGTACTTAACATTGAGTAAACACTAACCTATTCTTTAGAGCTTCAAAATTGTCCCTATCTTTTTCAGAGACATGGAAAAACACAAATTAAGAATTTCAACCATAAATAAATAACAACAACACTAAACAAATGATGCTACAGTTTGAGATGCATGATTAGAATCTGTATGTAAACCGTGGACAGATGGATGAGAACAACACAACGATTGCAGATGCCATATCCCCAACTTAAGATAATTCTTACAGAAAAAAAAGAAAAGAAAAAAGAAGACAACCAAATAAACTTTGCATAAAAGTCTATAATTTTGACGATTTCCCGAATATAATATAGTGGGCAGATAGATCTTTCAGCATACCTTTGACTTAACCCTCAGATAGATTATATTAGGTAAAATCATCATGGACTATAGATCATTGCTATTTCAACTGTCTAGTTATACTAACAAATATTAGGATAATAAAAAATCTGCAAAACTCTCTTTGTACATGACCAAGCAAACATGTGAATCAACACATATTAACAAGCAGCACTCAACAACAACAACAAAACATCAGACTATTACAACTTAGCTTCCTGCAGTTCTGGCTACCTAAAAGAGATGAGATATACCTGTATTGAACTCTGGTTGCTGACCTTCGATAGAAAACTCCTATGGCTTGAAACTGAAACATGGTAACAGAGGCTTCTCATTGCCAATGTAGTCTTAAATATGACTTTAAGCATCATTTATGGACCAGAAAGTGGGATAGTTATACGTGTTGGACATACAAGTCACAGATGGCTGACCACTCCCTTGAATTAAGAAACTCAAGAATAAAATATCACTGAAATTACTAGAATAGTAGGAGTGGTAGAACAACTCCACTAAGTAGTCATCCCACACAAGAAAGTAGCTTGGAAGAGGAATGTTTTGGTTAGCTTGAAAACTACACCATCAGACAGAATATCAGTAAGTAGGATCATGCATATCTCAACCCCATTGTGGAATATGAACCAAATCTACAAGTCAAAATCTCTTCTATAGAAAGTGGATTGGATGAGAACATTGTTTATACTCTTTAAGATTTTTATATCATTGATTCATTTTCAAACTTCCACGAGTCATCCCTATATAGTAAGTTGATAAAACTAAGAAGAAAAGGTCTATCTTTCATGGCATTTTGGACCAACAAACTTAAACAAAACATAGCACATATGTTTAAGGAGACTTATCTATCTATCCGTACCCAAGTCGAACTCTATTACCAGTTCCAGTAAAAAGCCTAGCCTGGCCGGTTCTAGGACGGTCAAGAAATCTGAAGAGATCAAATTATATGAAACATAAGGAAAGCTTTATCTATAGGGTTTGATTAAAGTGAATGACCATAAGAAACATATTCCTAAAAATCACAAAACCCAAGATTCGACCTAGCTGATCAGACATACTCACCCACCAAAAAAAAAAAAGACTTCCGAAATTACCGTCGTTCACTGATGTTAGGATGAATCCCAAATTGAATCGGGTGATGAGCTGGGACCGATCACCGATGTTAGGGTTTTACGATGACTCGGAAGATAGTAAATCTTATCTTCCACTTGGTCAAGAAACCGAGATCTAGGGTTTCTTTGGTCGAGATTTCGAATATCCTCGTTCTTCCTTTGAACCAGAATGGTTTGTGTACACGGTTAAATGGCGTGATAAGCACGCTAACAGTGCAGGAGTCATCTGTTCCTATCGCACCTCTTGTCACAGACGGTGAACCCACTGGAAAACCTAAGTGATTTTCTTAATTTTCCCGCTACTTTTGGGATTTTCTCAAATTCACCTCTAATTTTATTTATGAAAAGTAATTTTTATCTCGACAATATTAAATGAAAGACGTTCGATGTCCACTAGTTTTTTTTTTTAGTCTAAGCTTTGAAAAACAAATATTAATCAAGTATGAATGTTTTTGAAATCAGATGTCATAAGCAAATACTTCATAGAACAAAATTGTAATGTTTTTGTCAAGAATTTTTTATTTTTTCGTGTGTGTGTGTGTGCTTGGTATTGGCATGTTACACAATATTATTGTCAACAAGTCTTTTGTGATGATAAATTATATAAGAAAGAAAATTAACATGGAATCATAAGTCCAATTATTGGAATGGAGTTTGTATTTTAATAAATAATTTTGAAAAGTTATTTTTGTGGTATATTTGAAAACAAGTCCATAAACAATGGTGTTTGATACTTTTTTCATTTTTAAAATTATTTTATTTACATTTAACTGATTTAATTGTCCACATCCATGCTTGGTTTCGGTGGACCCTGGACTTTCCCGATGACCCGATATCTTATAATTTCTTAAACCGGAGAAGACCACTGATTTATTACACCAACCGTCTGTCCACGGTTTAACCGGTTCAAACCGAACAATTCATAGATTTAAACCGAAACGCTAAAAACATAAGAAAGTTGGGAAACCTACGGAGAAAAGGAAAGCGATCGAGAAAGACGAAATTTGATCATCGGAGTTCGACAGTTGGAGCAGTTCCGGGAACGAAGATGGCGTTGGCAGCTTTCGGGCAGCTAAACCTCGACGAACCTCCTCCGATGTGGGGATCTCGCAGCGTTGATTGTTTTGAGAAGCTCGAACAAATCGGTGAAGGCACTTACGGGTCTACTTCTCAATCCCTTCCCTTTTCCTTTGAATTCAATTTCACTTTTTGGGTATTCACAAAGGATTGATTTTTACTCAGGGATTGATAAATTGTTGGCCTTTGAAGCGATTTTTTTTATTTTACAATGCTCATGTTGAGCTTTTAGGATATTTGATTGTTGTTGTTTGCTGTTGCAGTCAAGTTTACAAGGCTAAAGAAATCAAAACTGGTGAAATTGTGGCTCTCAAAAAGATCCGTATGGACAATGAAAGAGAAGGGGTATGTGCATTTTTTTTCTCTTTATATCATCGACTATAAGTTTTTATGATGCTCTCTATGTTGAGAACAGATGCAAGTTTTTGTATCCAATAGGAATTTTTTTTTAACCCATTTTCATAATTGGTATGTTGCAGTTTCCTATAACAGCCATCAGGGAGATAAAGATCCTGAAGAAGCTTCATCATGAAAATGTCATTCAGCTGAAAGAGATTGTGACTTCACCAGGTTTGTATAAGGAACAACATGTGTTACACTGAATTAAGTTTAGCAATTTCTGTTTAAATAGTCTAAAATTTTTGTGGTTCATGGAATGGTTCTGTTTCTGTCTCTTAAAAGGTCGAGACAGGGATGACCAAGGAAAGCCAGGTTAGTGAAAAAATTTCAACTCCTGTCTTAGTATCTAAATAACTTAAGGTTTTGCTCTCACCTTAAGGTTGTGGATTTGTATATACGTGGAATTATAGATAATAACAAATACAAGGGTGGCATCTACATGGTTTTTGAGTACATGGATCATGATTTGACTGGACTAGCTGATCGTCCTGGACTGAGATTTACTGTTCCTCAAATTAAGGTATTGCACGGCTATAGATAGCTTTGTTAATTCTATCAGCCTTTTGCATACTTATTTTCCAACTTTATTCTAACACTCAATCCATGTAAAAGTGTTACATGAAGCAATTGCTCACCGGGCTTCACTATTGTCATGTGAATCAAGTTCTTCACCGTGATATCAAAGGTGATTCTCCCAAATACATTGTTGATGTTTGGTTATCACTTTTACTTGCCTATTAACTTAGATCTTGGTCCAGGCTCAAATCTCCTTATTGACAATGAGGGAAATTTAAAGCTAGCAGATTTTGGGCTTGCACGGTCGTTTTCTCATGATCATACTGGGAATCTTACAAATCGTGTCATCACATTGTGGTATAGGTAAGCCTACAAATCGTGATTGACAGTTTACATAATAGATACAGAGATAGTCTTGATATCTTGGCATTATGGTTTTTGCTAATGTATCGATTATTGCTACTTTGCTGACTTACACGTATTGCGGCAGGCCCCCTGAATTACTACTCGGGGCTACAAAATATGGCCCAGCAATTGACATGTGGTCAGTTGGTTGCATATTTGCTGAACTTTTACATGCAAAACCAATTTTGCCTGGGAAAAATGAGGTCAGAGTTTCATCTTCGCTGAAAGCTCAGTTCTTTTGAACATTTCAGATGTTAGGACAGTGTGCTTTCATGCCACTAATAGTATAAGAATCTACTTGGTCTCCTGGTTGCATTGTGATATTGTTGGAGTAGGAAACCTAAGGGATTCGCTAGAATTAGATATATCGTCACTTTTATTTTGTAGGAGGCTGGTTAGTTCTTTGCCTTATATCATGTATATTTGTGGGAGGCTGGTTAGATTCTTTGCCTTATATCATGTGTACAAAAAAATTGTAGGAGGCTTTATCTGGGGTTTCAATAGCTTATCATGAATGCCTGAATGGTATATACGCAGTTATGTATACGTTATTGATAAACTCAAAAAAATATGTGCTGTCTCCTACATTGTTTCAGCAAGAACAATTGAACAAGATATTTGAGCTTTGTGGATCACCTGATGAAAACATTTGGCCCGGGGTTTCCAAGATGCCTTGGTACAACAATTTCAAGCCTGCACGGCCCTTGAAGAGGCGTGTAAGAGAGTTCTTCAGACAGTAAGTAAAGTAAACCAATATATATAGCTCCGCCTTACTTTGATCAGAAGACGTCATTTGGCTTTACTTTCTCTTCTGTACAGCTTTGATCGGCATGCTCTTGAATTACTGGAGAAAATGTTGGTGCTTGATCCATCACAGGTATCAGAGACCTTTAATCTTATTCCCAGCGAACTATCTTCTAAAAAACTGTCTTTTACTGTTTCTTGGATGAAGCATACCTCTTCAAGTCAGGACATTGTTAACACCATTTAGACATTTAAGTTCTTCTTTTTTTCTTTTCTTTCCCCTGTGTAGAGAATATCGGCAAAGGATGCTCTTGATGCCGAGTACTTTTGGACTGATCCGCTGCCATGTGACCCAAAGAGGTATTTGTATATTCTGATTTCTCTGACAAATTCATGAAGCTCATCTGGTGCATCATCATCATCATCATCTAGCTTATTAGACAGGCGATCGTGGGGAAATTTTTTCTGACCAAATCAATGTTTCATTTCAACAGTCTGCCCACATATGAATCATCACATGAGTTCCAGACAAAGAAAAAGCGGCAACAGCAGCGCCAAAACGAGGAAGCAGCAAAAAGACAGAAAGTGCAGCATCCACCGCAGCAGCACTCTCGCTTACCCCCATTACAACATGGTGGACAGTCTCATGCTGCTCCACATTGGCCTGCCGGTCCCAACCATCCCACTAACAACGCACCACCACAAGTACCTGCTGGACCCAGCCACCACTTCTATGGGAAGCCGCGTGGTCCACCTGGTCCAAACCGCTACCCTCCTAGCGGAAACCAGAGCGGGGGTTATAATCAAAGTCGAGGAGGTTACAGCAGTGGATCATATCCTCCACAAGGACGGGGAGCTCCTTATGTGGCTGGTCCTAGAGGGCCTAGTGGTGGCGCGTACGGGGTTGGACCACCTAACTACACACAAGGTGGTCAATATGGTGGCTCTGGTAGCTCTGGAAGAGGGCAGAACCCGAGAAACCAGCAATACGGATGGCAACAGTAAAGAGCTCTAATGATTTGTTGATCTGATATCCTACTCTTACATTTAATGTGATACTAGTAATAATAGATTAATTTGAGAAATTGAATCTCTTTCTTTTTCCAAGTCTTATTTCATTATCCAAACATTATCTAGTAATGTCAAGATGGAGATTGACAGTGTGTGATGTAAAAGAAATGAGCAATGAGAACAGAGGAAAATATTGCCATTCTTCTTCATAAGCTTTCACACGTCATTATTACACAACTCTATATTGAAAACAAAACCTCTCCAAAGAAAACTAGAGTCTCCAAGTAAAAATCTGTTTTCCTCATACCAGGATTTATTTGTTCCATCAAATTATGAATCTTTTGTTTTAAAATCTTCCTATTCTGTTGCTGTCAAACGTATATATTTAAAATTGTTCAACACGAACAACCACCTCGTTGTTGCTCCCCTTGAGACGAACTGTTCGAAGTCTTTAGATTCACATCAACCATGTCCTCTTGTTTCGTTGAAGAAAGTGTTTCCATTCCTGGTAATGCTGCAGCAATCTTGCGGAATAGTGGCTGCAAGTTTCCAAAACACCAGAACAAGAAAGACAAGCGTTAGTCCAAGAGAATTTAAACGAGTCATGAGGATACAGTTGCATCTCTCACCTTGATGTTAAATCCTGCTTTTGCACTGGTCTCTATGAATATCACTCCATAGTCACGAGCTTTGTTGTCCCCTTCCTCAATCGACACTTGCCTGTCAAATGGAAATGTCAAGTTGATAGCTAAATGAAAAAAAAGTTTCCATGTCTCATCCTCTTCAAATATTTCTTACCTTTTGTCAACGAGATCTGTTTTGTTACCAACCAGAACAATGATGACATCGCTACCTCTTTCTGTACGAACATCCTCAATCCACTTGGAGGTGTTCAAGAATGACTGCCTATCTATACATTAAAAACCGTAGAAGGTTGAGAGTTTACACAAAATCTGTGAGAAGTTGAAAAAGTTCTTTGTCCATCTATGATTCCTCAAAGAAGGATATACAAATAAAGAAGGTACTATTGATCATGTGTAGATTGTAAACAAAAGAGGAAACTTTAATGGTAAAGCTGAAAAAATCTCATATAAGACTTACTTGCAACATCATAGACAATAACAGCAACAGAAGAATCTCGGATATAACTTGGTATTAGACTTCGAAATCTCTCCTGTCCTGCAGTATCCCTGCATTATTATATAAACTTGACGCTTAATGACCGCACAGTAACATGGTTTGATGCACAATGCAGAGAATTTCCATGGACGAATAAGTACATTATTAGCTACTTTGATGATCATTCAACCATTATACCAAACAACAAAGATCATCCTCATCTTTGACTCAATCATCTAAATACATATTGTATTAAGGTCAAATTTTTAGATCAAAAGATAAGAGGTGATGAATTACCATAGTTGGAGACGAACAGTCCTATCCTCAAGGTACATTGTTTTTGACAAAAAATCAATTCCAATTGTTGCCTGCAAAATTCTCCCACAACAAAATTTATATCAGAAATTGATCCAATTAACACAATGCCTGGCAAAAACAAATCCTTCAAATTTCAAAGAATGTAACCAAATCCTTGAATCTGATCCACACATTACAGCAAAAGGATTGTGGATCTCACAGACAATTTATCAAAAAAAAAGCTGTAGATCGCAGATCTAAGGGATGTGATTATCAAACCTGATAAGTGGTATCGAATTTGTCGTACATGAAACGAGTGATGATGCTGGTCTTGCCAACGGATTGATCTCCAAGGAACACGAGCTTGTACTTGGCTAATGGTGACACACTCGCCATTTTTTTCCGATTTGAGATGATCTTTCTTCACCGTATAATTTGAGGTAATAGATCTGACGACTTTTGCGGTTTCTCAGGTCAGGTTTGAGTTTGACGCGTTTTTATGTCCTCACCAATGTAACCGCCAAACCACAAAAATAAACAAAAAAAAAACTGTTAAAAATTAGTTTACATTTGGTTAATTACTTAAAGAGAAATTAATTGCCTAATATAGCTAATTGAAGTTTAAGGCACCTTTTACTCTAAAAAGAAGAAAAAGAAACGTCTAAAGTTTATTCACAAAGCAAGTATTTACAAAATCAAACTAGGTAAGACTCCAACGATTCACACTCACCAACTAATATCATCACATATATGATGGAGACTCGAGAGTAAGCAGACCACTAAGACCAGACTAGATATGGCAAATGACAGAGACATATCATATTTAATGACGAAAAACATTCTCTACCTAGAAAGCATTAAGCGGTCTAAATCTTCTACAACGAAAGCACAACTGCTTCTCTCTATGTATAGTATATAAGAGCCACACACTATCTTTTCACATTTACTCTCATTTTTTGTCCCCACTCTTATACAATTTTTTTATATATAAGCAACATCTTCATCTCTCTGTTCGACATATAGTCACACTTCTAGCTAGTTTTAGATTACTCGATTAAGTTTCTTTGTTTTTTTGCAGATCAAAGGGAATGAATTCAGTATCTGCAGACCAGCTGAAGAGTTTTGGAGATGATGCTGATGCTGATCCAATATGTAACAAAAGCATTATATTTCCAAATAGAGTTGTTGCATTAGCTAACAGCTTCGAGAAGAAAGACCGTTCCTGGTACGCAAACTTTTCATTATATGTATAAGGTATTGTAGAGCAAAGAATCAGTAGAAGTTTAGCTTAAGCTAATGAGCTTTTGTTTTTCAAATCTTTTGCAGGTATGTCAAATCTCAAATCCCTACTGATCTGTCTATTCAAGTCGATGACATTACCTTTAAAGCACACAAGGTAATCTGTGCTAGCTTAATAGTCTTCAAATGTGTATATATACATATGAGTCTAGTGATTGCAATCCTAGACAACTAATTTTGGCAAAGCAGAACTTGGAGTATTACACATGTTTTTGTCACTTTACCTTATTTCTTTTGTCTTGAACAGTTTCCTTTGATCTCCAAATGTGGTTACATGAGCTCTACTGAGCTAAAACCTTCAACTTCTGAGAATGGATATCATCTCAAGCTGGAAAACTTCCCAGGTGGAGCAGATACATTTGAAACCATTCTGAAATTTTGCTACAATCTCCCACTGGACTTGAGCCCTCTCAATGTAGCTCCACTAAGATGTGCATCAGAATTCTTGTACATGACTGAAGAATTTGAAGCAGGGAATTTAATCTCCAAGACAGAAGCTTTCATCACTTTTGTAGTACTTGCCTCATGGAGAGATACACTCACTGTTCTGAGATCCTGCGCAAACTTATCTCCGTGGGCCGAAAACCTCCAAATTGTAAGAAGATGCTGTGACTTGCTTGCTTGGAAAGCTTGCAATGATAACAACATACCAGAAGATGTTGTCGAGAGAAATGACAGATGTTTATACAGTGACATAGCTACCCTTGGCATTGATCACTTCATGAGGGTTATAACAACTATGAAAGCAAGAAGAGCCAAGCCAGAGATTACAGGTAAGATCATCATGAAGTATGCAGAGAACTTTTTGCCGATAATCGATGATGATTTGGAAGGTATAAGAGGTTACGGGTTAGGAAAAAATGAGTTGCGGTTCAGTGTGACCAGAGAAAGAATGGAGGAAAGCAGCAGTTTAGGATTTCAAGAACATAAAGAAACTATTGAAAGTTTAGTCTGTTGGGTTAAGCTTGACTTAAAGCCCAAGTTAATGAAGTCGGTTATGAAAGGGTTTTATGGATAAAGTTGTATTAGGTCTAGGAGTTATCTAGATACTAATCTAAGTCGGTTTATGAGTCTTTGTAAAACCCTATATATATGTTTATTGAGCTTGTGATAAACATATGAGTTGTGAGAGAATTTGAGAGATAGAACTTCTAGGTTTTGAGCTATTTTCCTAAGCAATAAAGAGAGTTATTCTTTGTTCAAGTTCTTGTTCTTATTCTAGATTTGGTATCAGAGCAATAAGGATTACTCGATCCTTAAGAAGACGTGAAGATCATTAGGTATAGCCGAGCCATGGCTGATGATGATACTCTCGCCGTAGATAACATCACAGGGAAGGATCACATACCTTCTACAATAAAGTGTCCGATGTTAACTTCCACAAACTACACCGTATGGGCTATGAAGATGAGGATTGCTCTCCGTGTGCACAAAGTATGGGAGGTTATTGAGACTAATGTTGTTAATGATGATAAGAATGTTATAGCTATGGCCTTACTTTTTCAGTCAATACCTGAGGCCCTTGTGTTACAAATTGGGGAGTTAGATAATGCAAAGAAAGTATGGGAAGCAATTAAAGCAAAACATGTTGGAGCAGAAAGAGTAAAAGAAGCAAGACTACAAACCTTGATGGCAGAATTTGATCGCCTTAAGATGAAAGAATCAGAAACTGTAGATGGATTCTCTGAAAAAATATCTGAAATAGCTTCAAAAGCAGCTTCACTAGGAGAGAACATTGAACCAACCAAACTTGTGAAAAAGTTTCTTAAGAGCTTACCACGAAAAAAATACATTCACATAGTAGCATCTCTTGAACAGATTCTAGATCTCAAGAATACAAGCTTCGAGGACATAGTTGGACGTATTAAAACCTATGAAGACCGTGTGAATGATGAAGAAGAAGTGGAAGAAGATCAAAGTAAGCTAATGTACACAAGCACAGAAACAAGTTATCAAGAAGATTATAGAAACAGAGGACGCGGTGGCAGAGGTTTCTATAGAGGAAGAGGTAGAGGCCGATCTAGTGGAAGAGACCTTTCACATATAACTTGTTTTCGCTGTGACAAGAATGGACACTTTGCATCACAGTGTCCGGATAGGTTGCTAAAACTACAAGAAGCACAAGAAACAGAGACAAAAGACACACAGAATGCAGATGAGCTTATGATGAATGAAGTGGTCTACTTAAATGAGAAAAACTGTGTGCCTAGTAACTTTGAAACAAATACCAATGGAGAAGAATGTTGGTATCTTGATAATGGTGCAAGCAACCATATGACTGGAGACAAAAGATACTTTGATAAACTTGATGAAACTATAACAGGAAAGGTTCGGTTTGGAGATGACTCCCGTATTGACATCAAAGGAAAAGGAACAATAGCATTTACAGATACAAATGGGAACTCAAGAATAATGACTGAGGTTTACTTCATACCTGATTTAAAAAGCAATATCATAAGCTTAGGACAAGCTACTGAATCTGGCTGTGATATAAGACTTAAAGGAGAGTATCTAACAATGCTTGATTCTGAGGGAAAGCTACTAGTCAAGGCAGAAAGATCCAAGAACAGACTATACAAGGTCCAGATGGGATTAAGAAAAGAAGCAAGCTTGTACTTGACAACAGTAAGTGATTCAAGCAGACTGCATGCGAGAATGGGACATATAAACTTTGCAAGCTTAAAGAACATGGTTGATAAGAAGCTTATCTTAGGTGCTCCTGCTATTAAGATTGAAAAGGAAGTTTGCAGCTCTTGTTTACTTGGCAAACAAACCAGACAAAGCTTCCCACAAGAAACAACTTATAGAGCCACCAAGAAACTTGAGCTGATCCATGGTGACCTTTGTGGACCAATATCACCAAGCACAAGTGCTGGAAACAGGTACATCTTTGTGATTATTGACGATTTCTCTCGCTATATGTGGACCATACTACTGAAAGAAAAAGGAGACGCATTCAAAAAGTTTCAGAATTTCAAAGCACTAGTTGAAAAGGAATCAGGATCAAGAATACAAACCTTTAGAACGGATAGAGGAGGAGAGTTTGTATCATCTGAGTTTAATTCTTTTTGTGAAGAATCAGGAATAAAAAGACATCTTACTGCACCATATACTCCTCAACAGAATGGAGTGGTGGAAAGACGCAACAGAACTCTAATGGAAATGGCAAGAAGTATTTTGAAGCATATGAAACTACCAAATTACTTATGGGGAGAGGCCATCAGACATTCTACCTACTTATTGAATAGAGTCTCTACACGAACTCTTAAAGATAAAACTCCATATGAATGTTTTCGAGAAAAAAGGCCAACAGTTGAGCACATCAGAGTATTTGGTTGCATTGCGTATGCAAAAATAAACAAGCCACATCTGAAAAAACTTGATGACAGATCTAAAATGCTTGTTCACTTAGGTATAGAACCAGGGTCAAAAGCATATCGATTGTTTGATCCACAAGTGCAGAAGATAGTAGTAAGCCGAGATGTCATTTTTGATGAAACAAAAGGATGGAACTGGGAACATAAAACAACAACAAAAGATGGGGATGGAAGTTTTCATATCACATTTGATTCCTATGGGAATAATGGTCTCCGAGAAAATGGAGAAACCATTGAAACAGAGCAAGCAGGAACAGAACATGGACTGCAAAATCATGACCCGACTGATAATGAGCCAAGTGAAAGTGATACTGAAACAGAGGATAGAGCTGAGTCTAATGAGGAAGAGGAAAGTGAGAATGTAGATCCAAGTTATGTCTCACCACCAGTCTTGAGAAGAACAGAGAGACAAATCACAAAACCAAAATACCTTGAAGATTATGTGCTAATGGCTGAGGAAGAAGGAGAAGTGTTACTTTTATGCCTAAATGATGAACCAAGAAATTTCCATGAAGCCAAAGAAATCAAAGAATGGATAAATGCATGTGAAGATGAGATAAATTCTATAGAAAAGCTAAAGACATGGAATCTTGTGGATTTACCATCAGGAGCTTCACCAATAGGCCTAAAATGGGTTTTTAAACTCAAGAGGAATTCAGATGGAAGCATAAACAAGTATAAAGCTAGACTCGTTGCAAAAGGATACGTACAACAATATGGAGTAGACTTTGAGGAAGTTTTTGCTCCAGTTGCACGCATAGAAACCATCAGACTCTTGATTGATTTGGCAGCTTCACACGGATGGGAGATACATCATCTTGACGTTAAAACAGCATTCTTACACGGAGAACTAAAAGAAACAGTCTATGTTAACCAACATGAAGGTTTTGAAATAAAAGGAAAAGAAGATAAAGTCTACAAGCTCAACAAAGCTCTATACGGGCTAAGACAGGCACCAAGAGCCTGGAATAACAAATTGAACCAGATACTTTGTGAATTACATTTCAAGAAATGCTCAAAGGAACCTTCAGTGTATCGAAAAGAAGTTGGGAAACACTTACTAGTCATAGCCGTGTATGTTGATGACTTATTTGTGACAGGAACAAACCTGAAGATCATCAAAGAATTCAAGGAAGAGATGTCTTCAAAGTTTGAAATGAGTGACTTGGGAAAACTCACTTACTACCTTGGAATAGAAGTCATACAACACAATGAGGGGATTGCGTTGAATCAACACAGATATGCTCTGAAAATACTAGAAGAAGCTGGTATGAGAGACTGCAATCCAGCTCTTACACCCATGGAAACTGGATTAAAACTTTCAAAGTCAGAACATGAGAAAGAAGTTGATGCTACAAGTTATAGGAAGAATGTGGGTTGTCTCAGGTATCTTCTTCATACCAGACCAGATCTTTCATACTGTGTAGGAATTCTGAGCAGATACATGCAGAGTCCTAGAGAATCACACGCTGTAGCAATAAAACGGTGTTTGAGATATTTGAAAGGAACAACATCTCTAGGTCTTGTGTTTAAACGGAGCAATAACGTGCCAAAGCTAATAGGATATAGTGATAGCAGCCACAACGTGGATCCAGATGATGGAAGAAGTACCATGGGACATATATTTTATCTTGGAGAAGGGCCAATATCATGGTGCTCGCAAAAACAGAGTGTTGTGGCGTTATCCTCGTGCGAAGCAGAGTTCATGGCAGGAACAGAAGCTGCGAAGCAGGCTATTTGGCTACAAGATTTGCTCAGTGAAATTGCAGGAACACCAAATGAGAAGGTCACTGTCTTTATCGATAATCAATCAGCTATAGCTCTCACAAAGAACCCTGTTTTCCATGGAAGAAGCAAACACATTCATAGGAGATACCATTTTATTCGAGAATGTGTTGAGCTTGGACAAATTGAGGTCATGCACATTCCAGGTGAGGAACAAAAAGCAGACATATTAACTAAGGCTCTCGGAAAAGTAAAGTTCAGTGAAATGAGAAAGTTTATTGGAGTTCAAGAAGTGAAGAAAGGAGGCTTCAAGCTTAAGGAGGAGATTGTTGGGTTAAGCTTGACTTAAAGCCCAAGTTAATGAAGTCGGTTATGAAAGGGTTTTATGGATAAAGTTGTATTAGGTCTAGGAGTTATCTAGATACTAATCTAAGTCGGTTTATGAGTCTTTGTAAAACCCTATATATATGTTTATTGAGCTTGTGATAAACATATGAGTTGTGAGAGAATTTGAGAGATAGAACTTCTAGGTTTTGAGCTATTTTCCTAAGCAATAAAGAGAGTTATTCTTTGTTCAAGTTCTTGTTCTTATTCTAGATAGTCAGTGTACTTCCTCCACAATTTGGAGCAGTCTCATGCCACTTTCTCTTAAGAATGCTGAAAACAGCAATTGTTTACTCTGCATCACCAGCTTTAATATCTGATCTTGAGAAACGGGTGGGCATGGCTTTGGAAGATGCTAATGTATGTGAACTCTTGATTCCTAACTTCAAAAATGAAGATCAGCAGAAAGGAGCAAGGTGAGCAAAAAACTCTACTCTTGAAAATAACTTTGATATTAGATACTTCAACTAAAGAAATCTTAAATTGGTAACGTTGATTTATGTTCTACAGTTCACCTGAGGTATACACTATATACAATGTGGATGTGGTTCACAGGATTTTCGAGTATTTCTTGATGCATGAGCAACAACAAGTACTAGGAAAGCCAAGCATAACCAAGCTCTTGGACAATTATTTAGCCGAGATTGCAAAAGATCCATGTCTACCCATCACAAAGTTTCAGGTTCTAGCAGAAATGTTGCCGGAAAATGCTTGGAAATGCCATGACGGTCTTTATAGAGCAATTGATATGTTCCTCAAGGTAGTAAGTAACTCTTTTCTTGTTATTTCATCACAAAACCACAGCTAATGATTTAATTCTTGTTTCAGACTCATCCTTCACTGTCAGAGCACGATAGAAGAAGACTATGCAAGACAATGAACTGTGAGAAACTATCACTTGATGCATGCCTACACGCGGCACAAAATGATCGGTTGCCTCTGAGAACTATCGTCCAGGTATGCGATAAAACAGAACAATTTTTATTCTATAAGCCTTTCTTGAAGTCAAAGACTAAAGCTAAACATATTATCATAAACAAGATCAATACTCAAGTGCTTTTCTCGGAACAAGTAAAGATGAGAATGATGATGCAAGACAAGCTACTAGAGAAGAAGGAAGAAAATTCAGAAGGTCGTGAGGATAAACAAATGTCTAGAGATAATGAAATCAAGACACTTAAGGAAGAGCTGGAAAATGTGAAGAAGAATATGGTAGAGCTTCAGAACGATTACAATGAGCTTCAACAAGAGTATGAAAAGCTAAGTAGCAAACAGAAGAGCTCACATAACTGGGGATTGCGTTGGCAAAAGGTGAAGAAATCGTTCCAGATTAAACGCGAAGACGATGAAACAAGAGACGGGGCACGAAGAAGAAGTTCCACGGGACCAAGAACCAGCTTCAGGAGAAGAATGTCAATGTCATAATCCTTAACTTGTGTTTTACGGAATTAAACCAATCAATCAAAGTCTAGGCAAAGATATGTCAGCATAATGCCCAATTATGTATTCACGTTGTTTTGAAGACTGTGACACATTTGATGAAAAGAGTTTTGACTTTCTGATTAGTGATTAATCATCTGATTTACTCCATTAAAACACCTGCCGTTTGTTTGGTTAGAGAATTGGGCATATCATCAACGACGTCTTTTGTTGAGAATTGGATATATCAAAACGACTTCGTTTAGAGAATTCCATTTTTTTTTCTCCTCGAGAATCCGGCGAATCTCGTGACACTGGGGAACAGAATCTTTTTCCGAAATCAACAAGTCAAAGGCAAATTAGGGTAAAGTTAAAATCCGAATCTTTTTCTCTTTGGGAATAAAAATGAATTAATTGCCAAATCAACGGTCCTGATTGAATATTGGAAACCCATCTTATAAAGTTGATCTTTTTAGTTTTCACAGCATCCATTTCTGAGAAGCCGTTGTGTTCTCTTATTGCCGCCACCACCATGTGTGGGATTCTTGCTGTGTTAGGCTGCGTTGATAACTCTCAAGCTAAACGTTCCCGTATCATCGAACTCTCTCGCAGGTATTACTCAAATCAACCCGTTTAATGTATCTCATCCTGTTCTTTGTTTTCGATCTCCTTGGTTTTGGTTTTGGCTGCGCAATGTTCTAAAGGTTATTGGGTATTATTTTGAAAGAGAAAAGTTTCCAGCTTTATGGATGAAACGAGTTGATTTTGTCAAATGAAGAGCTTTTACTCGATTAGTCAAAATTGATGGTATAATTTGTTGAAATGTTATGTAGATTGAGGCATAGAGGTCCTGACTGGAGTGGGCTACATTGTTTTGAGGATTGTTATTTGGCTCATGAGCGTTTGGCTATCGTTGACCCTACTTCTGGAGATCAACCACTCTATAACGAAGATAAGACCATTGCTGTCACGGTAATTTTTTACTTGTGTCCTAATCTCAATTGTTTGGAGGAACTGGGACTAGTGAATATCGATTCTTTTTCAGTGATATAGACATTACGAAAAGAAATCATGAGTCAAACCTTAAACTTTGTGAGGATTCATGTGATTGATGTTTTTTTTTTTTGTTTGGGCTCTTTCCTTGTTTCAGGTCAATGGAGAGATATACAACCACAAGGCTTTGCGTGAAAATCTGAAGTCACACCAGTTTCGTACTGGGAGTGATTGTGAAGTGATTGCCCATCTTGTAAGTACCCACTAAGTGAAAGGAGATTTGACTTCATGGCTTCCTTCTGTTTCTTTTTCGTGTGAATTCAAGTCCAAGGACACCTCAATCTTTGTTACCTTATGGTAGTTGAACAGTTACTGTGTTCAGACTTCTATCAGTTTGATTTATATTTTCATAATATTGTAGTATGAAGAACATGGAGAGGAATTTGTCGACATGTTGGACGGCATGTTTGCATTTGTCCTTCTTGATACCCGGGACAAAAGTTTTATCGCTGCAAGGGATGCCATTGGTATCACTCCACTCTACATTGGGTGGGGCCTCGATGGTGTGTTCACATTTCTCTAAGAAATTCACCTCAATGGATAACATCATTCTTTCTTTGCCAGTGCACGATGGTGTGATTACTGATTTTGTTCTTTGACAAATTATCTTCCACAGGTTCTGTCTGGTTTGCTTCGGAGATGAAAGCACTTAGTGATGATTGTGAACAGTTTATGTGCTTCCCCCCAGGCCACATCTATTCAAGTAAACAAGGTTCGCACTTCATATCAGATCACATCTATTTTAAAATCAAATAATGACGTTTCTTGGCTGACTCCTATTGTATCAAAAAAATTCAAATTGGTTTTAGTTATGGGTTTCCATCTTTTAGTAAGTTTGTGTTTGGACTCTTATTGTATAGTTTCATGGAACGAACCTTTCTTGTAGGTGGGCTTAGGAGGTGGTACAACCCCCCGTGGTTCTCTGAGTTGGTTCCTTCAACCCCATATGATCCCCTATTGGTGCGCAACACTTTTGAGAAGGTAATTCTGGAGTTTTATCTTCCTCAAGATCTTCTCTGACAAATGCTGATTTGGTTTTGGAAATATGAATGTGGTCATTTGAACTGCAGGCTGTTATAAAACGACTAATGACTGATGTGCCTTTTGGTGTCCTCCTATCTGGAGGATTAGACTCATCCCTTGTTGCTTCAGTAGCGTTACGCCATCTGGAAAAATCAGAAGCTGCTTGTCAGTGGGGTTCAAAGTTGCACACATTTTGTATCGGTTTGAAGGTCTTGACCCAATTTCTCAAAATGTTTTCACCAAAAGCTTTCTATGCTCATCAAGATTTGTAATTTCATCTGATTTCTTTTCAGGGATCCCCGGATCTGAAAGCTGGCAGAGAAGTCGCTGACTATTTAGGAACTCGCCACTATGAGTTACACTTTACAGTCCAGGTAAAGTTTCTCTTTCACATCTACAAAGAGTATTGAGTGTGAAGATTTGTTTCATCGATTGATTGTTTGTATCTTTTTCTAATGATAATATCAGGACGGAATAGATGCCATAGAAGAAGTCATATACCATGTTGAGACCTATGACGTGACTACTATAAGAGCCAGCACTCCAATGTTTCTTATGTCGAGAAAAATCAAATCGCTTGGTGTAAAGATGGTTCTTTCTGGGGAAGGCTCTGATGAAATTTTTGGAGGATATTTGTACTTCCATAAAGCGCCCAACAAGAAGGAATTTCACGAGGAAACATGTCGAAAGGTACTGCCTTTAGAATTTAGACCAGAACTTTTTTTTTGATACTCTGCCTTCTGTAATCTTGTTTGTGTGCGGATGTGTTTACAGATCAAAGCTCTTCATCAATATGACTGCTTGAGGGCTAACAAATCAACTTCTGCATGGGGTGTTGAGGCTCGTGTACCTTTCCTTGATAAAGAATTTATTAATGTCGCGATGAGCATCGACCCAGAGTGGAAGATGGTATGTGGCATCTTTCTCATCGCTTTCTGTTTCATCTTTTTATTACGCACATATCAAACAAGTGATTTTGATTCATTTCTTTGATATATAACACTGCTTTCAGGACATTCTAGTTTCAGTTGATTCTTTCATGACTTTCTTTTTATCACAAGTTTATAATCTCAAGTTACAAATTTGGTGATAAATTTTTGTCTATACAATGATGCAGATTAGGCCTGATTTGGGAAGGATCGAGAAATGGGTGTTACGCAATGCCTTTGATGATGAGAAAAATCCTTATCTACCAAAGGTTTTCTAACAAAAACTTTGTGTTCCCTGCAATTTGACAAAATTATCGAGCTTTGCTAACAACTTCTCATCTTTGTGGTAAATGTAGCACATTCTATACAGGCAGAAAGAACAGTTCAGTGATGGAGTTGGATACAGCTGGATTGATGGTCTAAAAGATCATGCAAACAAACATGTAATAAGATGTCTCTTTTAATCAATAGAAAGAAGGGATATTTAGTCACAGTTTGATAATGCGATGGTTTCATATCTCTTTTGGTAAGGTCTCTGACACAATGCTGATGAACGCAAGCTTTGTCTTTCCTGATAACACACCTTTGACAAAAGAAGCTTACTACTACAGAACCATCTTTGAAAAGTTCTTCCCTAAGGTAATGATTTCATCTGCATAACTACTTCGTCACCTTAATTGTCTTGATCTTTTCTCTGATATGTTTTTCGGATATATAAATGAGCAGAGTGCTGCTAGAGCAACTGTACCAGGAGGTCCAAGTGTGGCATGTAGTACAGCAAAAGCTGTGGAATGGGACGCAGCTTGGTCACAGAATCTTGACCCATCAGGTCGTGCGGCTCTTGGAGTTCATGTTTCCGCTTATGGGGAAGATAAAACCGAAGATTCTCGTCCCGAGAAGCTACAGAAACTAGCAGAGAAGACTCCAGCCATTGTTTGAGGATGAACAAGGTTTAAGCTAATGTTGAATCACGCACTACTCTTATTGTCTCAAAGACAATACTTATCCTCTTCTCTAGGAATAGGATTGATGACTAAAAGGGCTCTCTTTTGTTCTTTTTTTCTGGTGTTTTGCAAGACTCCATGGAAACTGAGTTGAGTTAGCAACAAATTGTGAGTTTCTGGGGATGTGTACCTAAAAGTTGCTGGTGAATTTCTGTTTTTAGTGTTATAAGACAATCCATGAAAGCTTGATACTTCAGATTATGAACGTTGTTCTCATGAATCAGATTCTTTCTTTCTTTTTTCTATCACAAAGCTTCAAATTTTCTTTTGTTCTGTAGAAAAGTGTAATAACCTAAAGTAGTAATTGAAACGATTCAGAAAAGAAGAAAAAATATTTTAATTTGGTTTGGGCTGGTTCGGTTCATACAAATTAAACGGATCAAAAACCGGCGTTGGCTATTTTGGGCATAGTTCCTTTTGATATTGGTTATAAACTTAACGGTTAATATATCATCAAAAAGACTCTGTGGCCCAATGGATAAGGCGCTGGTCTACGAAACCAGAGATTCTGGGTTCGATCCCCAGCAGAGTCGCAATTTTAATCTTCTTCTTTTGTTTTTGTGCCAAAGCTGCTTTTACAGTTTATTTTAAAAAATTTGAAATCATTATAAATTTATAACTTTCTTTTGGGTTTTATCCATAAAGTATTTTTTTATCATATAAAGTTATAAACTATAACATCAATGAAATAAATTAGATATTTGACGTTACGTTTTTTTTTAGTCGATAATCAGTATTTGGTTGCCAAGAAAATAACTGCTCCTTTAACATTAAGCTTAGCACCAACCACGTGATTCTTGGAGTTAAACAAGAAACAAATGACATAAGCCATGAAAATCTTGTTTTGTCTCCAGAACATTCCTATAATTATAAACTTGTCACATGGACCTTCAAAGGTCTATTTATATAGCTAAACATAATTAGTTATTTAGTAATCAACATTTTTTGATATTATCAAATTATTTTCCAAAAAAATAATTTTAAAACAACAATATTAAGTTATTAAATTAATAAAGCATATATATCCACTAAAGAAAATCCTTTTAACAGCAAATAATTATTTATAAAAAAATTATGTATACTCTTCAAATGTCAAAGCCAAACGTGCCATTCACAATCAAAATCATAAGATTTTGATCTATATGTATACAAACTTAATTAAATTCATTTTTCTGCCAGCTATCTAGATTTTTTCCTTTAAATTGATTTACTAAAGTTTGCCAAGTCTTTTTACTAAAATGAATATGCTTTAATATATGCTTTTATAGTCAACAAAATTTACTATTCAACAATATTTTCAGTTAATTTACTACCTTTTCCATTCATTGTATTGATTATTTTCTTTTCCTTTTTATTGATATACTAAAAATTACCAAGTCTCTTTACCAAAATGCATCTTCATACAAACATTTTTTTTAATTGAAACTTTAAGAGCCATCTCATTATTTAAGTAAGACAACTTGCTTCTAGCTCTACCTCATCATCCTCATAGCAGAGAACAAAAACATACAAAACTTTCACTTGTTCAAAAAATGGCGTCTCTCAAGGTTCCCGCCAATGTTCCTCTTCCCGAAGAAGACGCTGAGCAACTCAACAAAGCCTTTAAAGGTCTCTCTCCCTCTCTGTATCCCTTCATTAGTCGTTTGGTTAGAACTAGCCTAGCATTCATCTTCTCCGATTGAATCCTCTGTCGGTTTGGTTGATATCATAGCGTAATCTATTTCAACTAGACCCTCTTATCTAATTGATCATGTGTCTGTATATATTCACTGATCTATAGAGTATATAGATCTAGTTTGGTTGATGGTATAGATTTATTTAATTTGGTTTAAATTACTCCTATCATCAAAAATAATCTATTAGTACTTTTACTAGACCTTCAAATCTTAAAGAGAAAATCTCCTCTAACCCTAGCTGATATGTTGATAGTATTATTATTATTTATGAAACTAGATGAATTTTACTATTTTCTAATCATATATCTAATTTTTCAATCTAATATTGAATGAATAATTTCAAACCTGATTCTGACTCTATATATGTTTCTTTAATTTAATTGTGAATTTGTCCAATGCAGGATGGGGAACCAATGAGGGGATGATCATATCAATCTTGGCTCACAGAAATGCACCGCAACGCAGTTTCATTCGTGCTGTTTATGCTGCTAACTACAATAAGGATCTTCTCAAGGAATTAGACAGAGAGCTTTCCGGTGACTTTGAGGTTTTAATTTGTTAAAAGAGACAACATCTTTATATCTTCGTCTTCTTTTGGTTTGAGTATACTGAATTACTGATCTGTTAAACTATGTTTTTGTTTGTAAACAAAACAGCGAGCTGTGATGTTGTGGACTTTTGAACCAGCGGAGAGAGATGCTTATTTGGCAAAAGAATCTACCAAGATGTTCACCAAAAACAATTGGGTTTCTTGTCGAAATTGCTTGTACTAGATCTGCTCTTGAGTTCTTCAGTGCCAAGCAAGCATACCAAGCCCGTTACAAAACCTCTCTCGAGGAAGACGTCGCATACCACACATCTGGAGACATTCGAAAGGTATAGTATAATTAAGTATGTGAAAGTTCATGATCTTAATTCCATCTTATATATCCAATAAAAAATCAAATATATCTAGTTCATATATATTTTTATACTAGCTAGATAAAATCACTTATATTATATATTCATGTAAGATTCCTAACAAACTCAGTTCGTATACTATGCCACGAATGCATATATAAGTTTGTAACATATATATGTTTATGGTTATGCAGCTCTTGGTTCCTCTAGTGAGCACTTTTAGGTACGATGGAGATGAAGTGAACATGGTGCTAGCTAGGTCCGAGGCGAAGATACTTCATCAGAAGATCGAGGAAAAAGGCTTATGCTGATGACGATCTCATCAGAATCTTGACAACAAGAAGCAAAGCTCAAATCAGCGCAACTCTCAATCACTACAAAAACAATTTCGGAACTTCCATGACCAAATACCTAAAGGAGCATTCGGAAAACGAATACATTCAATTACTCAAAGCCGTCATCAAATGCTTGACATATCCAGAGAAGTATTTCGAGAAAGTTCTACGTCAAGCCATCAACAAATTGGGAACAGACGAGTGGGGGACTTACGAGAGTGGTCACTACACGAGCAGAGTTCGACATGGAACGGATCAAAGAGGAATATTTACGCAGAAACAGTGTTCCTCTTGATCGAGCCATTGCTAAAGACACTCATGGTGACTATGAGAATATACTTCTCGCTCTTCTCGGACATGACCATGCTTGGAAACAACATTTGCAAGTTTAAAAAAAAAAAAATTATCGCTTTGTGTTTAATAAAACAGTTTGTGATTGGTATTGCAACTTGGTCTTGTTGAATTAGTGTCTTCAGTTTATTTTGTCATTTATGTTTTCTGTTACAAATAAACACAACAACTGAGATTTACAGAGCTAAAACTATATCAAAAATTATTATTTATCTATTTATATTTAATTTAGTATAAACTATCATTTTCCCCTTAATTCTATATGATTTTAAAAAGCTAAAAGCATACATAATACATCTTGTTAAAATGAACAATATTGGCTTGTATTCTAATGTTTTGTCCGCCATTGTGTTATAATCCATGTTCAAATAAGGGAATATGCGTGTATTATATAGCAGAAAACAAAAGAGAATTTTTTTTAAAAAAGTTCAAATTTCGGTACCTGACAAAAATGTAAAACATGTTTTCATTTCTGTCCACTGTATACATCATGTCTCAATAAAATCTCTCCCTTTTAACCGGGCCTTATGGCCTAGTGGTAAAGGGGTAACGGCTGTGACTTCCGCCACCAGGGTTCGAGGCACGGCCACTGGCGGATTTACATGAGGGAATCGCCAGCTCCCCGGGATGTGGGGTACCCTAAGGCAGATGACGCATGTGGGTCCCACGCTAGTCGGTTCCACCTCGGTGGAGCCGGACACCCGAGTTATCAAAAAAAAAAAAAAAAAAAAATCTCCCCCTTTTACTAATTTAATTAAATGCTAAGTCTTTTTTTAAACAAAATTATTAATAATTAATAAAAATTGGGATTTCATTTCATTATTTGAGAAAATGTGCAATTTCCATATAAAATTTAGCTTTATGACAAAAATGCAAAAACATGATACTTGTTTTTTTCAATTCTGTCCACTGTTGACAGCCTGTATTATAAAAAAGTTTCCTTTTACTGATTACTTAAATTGCTAAATCTAATTTTTAACAAAAATGATTAATAATAATAATAATATGGGATATCATTTCATTATTTAAGACAAATGTGCATGCATTTTCCTCGTCCCACAGTTTTAGTCTGATCTAGAGAGCGAGAGAAAACAAAAACCAGAGAGATATTCAGTGGTGGAAGAATGGCGTCTCTCAAAATTCCTGCAACTATTCCTCTTCCCGAAGAAGACTCCGAGCAGCTCTACAAGGCCTTTAAGGTTTTCATCTCCTCCCTTCATTATTCGATTGATTTAACGACGTTAAAAACTAGGCCTTCACATAATCACATATATTCATGCTTCGATTGAATCATTTGCATTTTAATATTACTAATTGGGCTGATTATCAATAGTTCAATCTATTAATGACCGGTCTGATCTACTGATCTAGCTAACTGGTTTGGTGATGATATGTATATAAGTTTTGTTAAGAAATAGATGATTGATAAGTAAGATTTAAAAAAAAAAAAAAATCATATGATTGCAATCTTATGAAGTCTTAAATTTGTTATTTTGATGCAAAATCACGATTTTGTGATGATTATACAGCTCCATTGCATGATCTTTTGTTACGATGCAAAATTGTGACATTATTTAAAAGTATCTTACTGATTTTTTTTTTTTTGGGAGCGTTTTTCTGACCGTTTGGTTTGTAAACCGAAGTTTATGTACAAAACAGATTTTTTTTTTTTTTGTCATCTCTAACAAAACAGATTAACTTGTTGTTTCCTAGTAATATTTTGTTCAGATTTTCCAAACATATTTTATTTTGTTCTACTAGCGAACATTTGTTTTCTTGTGAATTTATATTGTTTCCAATTGTCTTAATTTGGTTTAGTATAATTGATCAGTTACGTTTGGCTACATTGCTGACTAAACTTCGGTATGAAATTGTTTTTGTGTGGCGCAGGATGTGGAACCCAATGAGGGATGATCATATCAATCTTGGCTCACAGAAACGCAGCACAGCGCAGCTTCAATCCGCGCAGTTTATGCTGCTAACTACATAAGGATCTTCTCAAGGAATTGGACAAAAGAGCTTTCTGGTGACTTTTGAGGTTTTTCAAAAGGAACGAAACAAAAATATTTATATCTTCATCTTCTTTTTTTCTGAGTATGCTATGGGTTTGTTACTTTGCTTGAAAAACAGAGAGCTGTGATGTTGTGGACTCTTGATCCACGGAGAGAGATGCGTATTTTGGCCAATGAATCTACTACCAAAATGTTCACCAAAAAACATTTGGGTTCTAGTTGAATCGCTTGTACTATACCTTCTCTTGAGTTTTTCAAGGCCAAGCAAGCATACCATGCTCGCTACAAGACATCTCCCGAGGAGGATGGTCGCATACCACACATCTGGACATGTTCGAAAGGTAGTGAAAGTTTTATGTATATCCGTATGTCTTTAAACCAATTAGTAAGTTTCTAATCATATGTTTGTTGTTTGGTTTTGACCTCTTGTGAAAATGCAGCTATTGGTTCCTCTTGTGAGCACCTTCAGGTACGATGGAAACGCTGATGAAGTCCAACGTGAAGCTGGCTAGATCTGAAGCTAAGACACTCACAAGAAGATCACTGAGAAAGCTTACACTGATGAAGATCTCATCAGAATCTTGACAACAGGAGCAAAACTCAGATCAATGCAAACACTCAGATCACTTCAAGGACAAGTTTGGAAGTTCCATTAACAAGTTTCTGAAGGACGATTCCAACGATGATTATTGTTCAATTACTCAAAACCGCGATCAAATGCTTGACATATCCTGAGAAGTACTTTGAGAAGGTTCTACGTCGAGCCATCAACAAGATTGGAACAGACGAGTGGGCACTTACTAGAGTGGTCACTACGCGAGCAGAGGTCGACATGGAGCGAATCAAAGAGGAAATACTTACGCAGGAACAGCGTTCCTCTTGATCGAGCCATTGCTAATGACACTTCTGGTTACTACAAGGATATGCTTCTCGCCCTTCTTGGACATGACCATGCTTGAAACAACATCATCGTTTCATTGTCTGTTATAAAACAGTTGTGATTTGTTTTTTCATTTTCTTTGAACTTTGGTCCTTAGTTTTATCATTTTATTGCAAACAAACTCATTCTGGTTTCTTTGAATCATATCTTCTTGAAATTTTCTTCTTAAAACTAAATTCCAGCTAACGCACAAGCTACAACAAAAGCTCATAATCTAAGCAATTACATCTCCTACAATCTCTGCACTCACAAAGATCTTCCACTCTTAGTGTTCACCGGTTTTGAAGCTTGTACTTTTAAAGCTATCTTCAACAAAAGAGCTTATCACAATCTTCCAAAACCCGATCTTTTGTCTCATCCATCACTACGAATCTCTCTATTCCATTCCATCAGACTCTATAACCGATTTCCAAGAAATCTTTCCTCTACCCACCAACTCTGATCTCGACCACTTCTTCAAAAACGACGTCGTGTTTCTTCTCCGTAGTTCGAAAACAACGCTTTGTTGCTTCAAATCCTCGACCCCCGTTTCGTTCCCTTGGCACTCCAGACCGAATGATTGGTTCCAGATCACGTTGTCTGATCTCGAACGGATCTCGGCAGTGTTTAGTTCGATCTTACTGTTATTCCCTGCATGGAGATAGAACCTAACGAAAAGAGTGGTTGGTGATAACTTGAGCTCTACGTTCCTAGCTTCCACGATTTTCACGTCAAGTTTAGAGAACGAATGTTTTCAACGATACCCATTTGCTTGAAAATTTCGAATGGAATCAAGAATATATATTATTTACCGAGGTAATAACAACAATTAGAGCGAATTTAAGAGAAATGTGAAGGCCTCTGTGATGAATATGCATGAACAAATTCTCACTATTTATAAAATCATTAGGGAATGTTCGAGGAAAGTTTACACTAGATTTCCACATTGTGCTTGATTAAAAAAATATATTCAAATCATGCTAGTGAAGGTTTTATTTTATAAATTAAACCCTTTGAGCATCTCAAAAGACCAAGGGTCGATTTTAATAATGACTCTTGCCCATAGTTTTGGGAGATAATTAGATAGATACGTATAGGATCACCATATAGAAAATTTTATAATTTGCAAAAAGAAAATAAGGTGTGCCATTTTGAAGACTTGATCATTATTATATTACATTCCGCGTGGACACATCCAATAGCCGAAAGTTGTTTTGAAATAGAGTCAACAGATTTAAATTAAATAAGAACAATTTTATACTAGATACATTCGATTGCATATAGAAAAATGAGTATGGAATTTGACTCAAAAGATATAACTACAAAAAATTAGCCACGAATCCCATGATCAAAACCCTAATACTAACTTACAGAACACAAATTATTTTTTGTCACAAAATCTCAAAAATACTTGAATTTAAAAGAGAAAAATGTTTCCACAATACTTAATAATTTTAATTGGTTTTCTCATAATTAACCGTTTTCTTTCATATTATGAAAGGACAACATTACTTAAGTTTCATATCATCCGTTGGAGTTATCCAAAGGACAGCATTTTAAACATAGTGTACCAATTTGGAAAAAAAGACATCAGAAGATTATCTCAAGAGCCTGACGTAAAAAGGTAAATAGTGGCTTGGTACATATCCTCTTTCCTCCAATCAAATTTCACTCCTGTGTCAATATCGACTATGAGAATGATTATCCTCGGTGGATTGAATGCAGATCTTCCATTTTTCAAATCGTTTACTTTACAATATCGTAATCCAATAGCTAAGACCTACGAAAATTCTCTTTCTTGGTACAAATTTTTTATCATTAGCTAAACGTGCGAATTATACAGTTTAAATGCTTTTTAATCTCTGCCAATCACTGAACCCAAAAAATAGATATCTAATCTCCCAATCACACATCATTTCTTATATAAGGAGAAAATATTTTTTACAATTTGGAACTCATGATTGTCTCCTCGAATAACTCTTAGTTACATACACCACAAAATAAAAGATAAATAAAATCACAGAAAAATAAAACAATTGTTACTTCTTCTTACTCCTTCAAAATGGAATAAAATTTACCACAACTCCTACAATCACACAAAACTAAATAAAGAAAGGGAAAAACAAAAACAAAAAGTAAAAGAAAACTTACGATATCCATGAACCATGAAGCAAGTTTCTTGCTTGTAAAAAGACTAAAACCCATACAAAGACTTCTCTTTTTCTTCAACTTCTTATTGTGTTTCAGGGTTTCATATTTCATCTTCTGCTAGCTTTATGCTGTATCCATGCCTCATACCTGAACAAATTCATAGATTTTGGCACCAAAAAAACTATTAACTAAATTGAAATCAAGACAAAAATGTGTTGATCATAATCATATGCTAGTAAGCCCGTAAAAATCTCACCTTTCGCAGAAGTTTTCTCATTTTTCTCACTCGATTTATCTCGGTTCTTCCACTTCTCTCCATGGCCTTCATCTTCCTCCTCCTCCTCATCATCAAGTCCCATATGATCTCTTCCATCATCTCCTATATCGCTCTCACTCGCTGTTTCCCATTCCGAATCATCGGTTTCATTTCCATACACTTCCCTCTCTTCGCCTTTCCTATGCACACCTCCATGCTTCAATGCTGCTTCTTTAAACAACCAAGCTGCTCGCATTGCTTCTTCACCAACCTCTCTGCGTAATCAGGAACCTTGTTCTGTCTCATGGAGATATCTGGATCATTCGACTGAGAACATTCGTTGATGAACAGAATCGCATCTAACAAACTCTCTTTAGCTAGACCTAACATATCATAGGCCTGAGCTCTTCTCCAAAGACTCTTAGCATGCCGGTTTACGGGATTGTGCAAGCAGAGCGCACGTGTGGCGTCACTTATAGCAACCAAAGGCTGTTGCAGCAAGAGATGACACTGAGCTCGATTGCTATACAACACTACTCTTTCTTCTTCGACCTCATCGGACAGAGAGACAAAGCTTCCGAGTACTTTTCCGCTGCACCCCGCAATATCTCCTGATGAAAAGAGAGAGTTTCCTTCGAGTTTGACCACTAAAGCTGCTGCTTGTTTGATATGAAGATCCTCTTTAGGCATACTCTTCTCCCATTTCAGTCTTTGTCGTGAATTTACCGTCTCTTCGATTAACTCCCTTGAACGGTTACCCATGGAGCTGCATTCTTGAAGAACACTTACAATGGAATCTCCAAGTTTCTTGTGATCGCCCAAGTTGTGATCTCTGCAAGATCCACAAGCGTTGGCACCGCCTTATCAATTACCTTGTGAGACGTATTAGGATCTTGAAGCAACCAAAGAAGACATTCTATCGCCATATACTGCCAATCATCAGAAGAACGAGCGATATTACACAAGGCCTCAATCATTCCTGCACAAGCAGAGACAGGTCCACGACCTAGTTTATGCTGACAGATTGTTCTAAGCAAACCGATACCAGCAGGCGAGTTCTCATTCACAAGTCCGCCCCACATAACCGGAAGATTCACCAGAAACTCGGGTTTGCACAGAGTGGGAAGAAACTCAGGTTTAAAGGCGAAACAGTTTATGAGCTGAAGAGACCAGCACTGCAACTGGCTCGCCCATTCCTCTGCTTTTCTTGACTCCATCTCAACACCTCCCATGCCTCGTGTCAGCAGATCGCAGTGGTAACTCAACCTTCGATCCGGATACTGGTAAAAGTGAGAGTAAACTATTTCCAACGAACTCATTGCCAATTGTATCGCAAGCTCGAGGATCTCTCCGTGATCCGCAACGGCAGGAAAAGTACTCGGGTAAGTAGCTAAATGCCCTAAAGCACGAACCGCCACTCTCTGTTCGACCCAAGTAAGCCTACCTCTTAAAAGCTCAACAAGTGGAGCAATCACACCAGCTTCCACAGCTCTCTCAGCAAACTCTTCCATGTTCATAGTGTAAGACCCGATAATGTGAGCCGCGTAGTAAGGAATGTATATGTTCTGGTCATGAGATAGCCAACGCCTGTTTTTAAGTCCTTTCCATATCAAAGCAGACATACACTCAAAGATTCCAAGCTCAATGAACTCAGGATCATTAGGGTGAGCCATTGCTGTGTTCCAGAGACCACTAATGGGAAGAACTTGACCATCGTCGTCTTGAGAAGGAAGATCTCTAAAGAATTTGAGAATGCAGGATCTTCTTTTACTCGGGTTTCCTTCTTTCATTACACAGAAGAAACATCCTGGATAAGGACACTCTTGTGAAGAAGCTTTATCCATTGACAACAAAAACCAAAACTTGCTTCTGCTTCTTCAATGTTGCTATCAATCAATTAATCTACATAACAACACCAAATACCAAAAACATTATCATTAGCTGAAAAATATGAAACAAGAACAATTTTTCAATTAGAAAAGATAAAACTATTGGAGTATCTAATGAATAAATAAATTAATATGTTTCTACTTGCCAAGTCAAAATCTTAAAAACGAAAGGCGAAATTGGATCTTACAAGAGAAAACTGAGTGGTCCTAATTTTTGAAAAATCCTAGAGGGAAACAAAGAGACAGCTGAAATATAGACAAAATGATCTTGTAAATTTTCACAATCTCGACACAACAAATAAATTCCGCAACTAAAAGACAACATTGCTCGAATCATTTAGATCTCTGGGGACAACAAGTACAACATATATCAAACAGTGGAGGAGCTTCTTGATGTGTCTAGCAGTAAGATCTAAGTTCCAAAAACACTTCAAATCAGCTAATTGAGTATAAGAACCCAAACCCAGTAGAGAAAGACGATTCTGTGTAATTTTACAATGAAAGCACGAATCTTTCGAGATACCCATCAAAAAAAATATCTCGTCTTGTATACGTTACAAACAACAAAAAGAGAAAGTTTTTATCTTCCTTTTGCTTGCTGAATTTTGTTGACTGAGAGAAAAGGCTAAGAAGAAAAAGAAGATACCTAGAATTAGGAAATTGGCAAAGTAACCCTACAAAACAGCTATTTCTTCGATCTTTGCAATTAACTGAAGAATTATACTGTTGCATTTAGGTCACGATTCTGGTTTATCTTCTTCAATCCGACATTGGAAGGGATGTGACAACAACGATGAAGAAGAAGAAGAAGAAGAAGAAGAAGAGAGAGAGAGAGAGATGGATCTTCTTCTTCTCTTGTGTATAAAAAGTTTGGGAGAGAAAGAAGAGTAAAGTGAATTATCAGAACCCAAAATTGGAAATAACTCCAATATACTGACGCGCCTGCCTCCTCATGTTCTGTCGGAACCCGGTTTAAGTCCGGTTCGATATTAACTAAGTCTAATGTTTTACCAAATTAATACTCCGCATTAATTTTATTATAGGATTTGCAAATTAAGAATGCGAATAATCATTCAATACTCATTAATATATTTCCTTACAAAAATAAAATCAGTAATTTTCCGTATTTTCCTTTTACTCTGTTCTTGTAATGTTATATACCGGTATGACCCCATCTTCCTATAATTGAAGTATGGAGCCCTAATGTCAATAACCCAAATCATCATCATTTGACTCTGTTCTTAACTCTCATTCTGATGCTGCTTAAGCAAATAAGTCTCATCGTGTTCTTCAGCTCCTAAACACTTCACCTCAATCTCTTCTTCTTCTTCTTCTTCATTGAGTTGTTGCATCTCTGACTCGATCAAGGCTTGCAATTTCGCTCTGTCTCGGTCCCTCGGGTACGTGCAATATAGGAACGAGTAGATTGTGCAACAGATCACCATCGGGATCCCGATCGCTGTGTAGAGTGCTTTAGCGAGCGATGCTGCGTTCTCTCTGTCTGTTTCAATCTTGATCGAGCTTGAGGATCCTTCAGGGATTGGTTTATAGCCATAGATGTTCTGAGCAAGCATCCCTACTATAGGAGGAGCAAAAGAAGCTAATATTGACTCGAATGATCTGTCTAATGCATAGATGCTGGTCCGCGCTCTCTCAGGAACAATCTCTGCAAATATTGGACTGTATAAAACCATTTCAAGTAGATTCTTCAGGAAATAAAGAAAACCCAAAAACTTAAAGAAGATTGAAATATAAGTATTAGACTTACCCGTTTGTAGCTGGACCGTTCCATGAGATGCATAATCCCATGATGACAAGAACCAGACCGTGGCTAAAGGCAGTGGAGGGATCATCAGGTAATCCGATAAGCAAAATCGCAGCTAAAGGAATTGCTGAGGCAGAGCTTATCTGAGAGAGGATTATCCTACCGGCATTTGGGAACTTCTTGGCAAGAGTATCTCCCATGTATCCTCCAAATAAACCTCCAAGAGAGCACGAAATGGTGAAAAGAGTTACCAGAACCGCCGTTGTTTTGTGGGAGAAACCAATGAGTTCTAGCCACAATGGTGCAAAAGCGAAAGCTGACCAGGGGAAGGAACCCGAAACTCCCTGAGCTACAAAGATTTGGAAAGACGGAATCTTTATCACCATCTTTGCTTCCTGCAATAGATCTCTTATGTCTGACCAGAAAGGTTTGTCTTTGACATGTTTTGTGATTTTTCTGTCGCTGTAGTGAGGATCTGTTGCGAAGAGGCGGACCAAAATGCCTACTATCACGCTAACGAATGCTACCAAAAGGAAAGCGATTCTCCATCCAGCGACACCATTGAAAGATTTGGAGGCAAAGAGGATGGAAAAGACATAGCCAAGTATGGAACCAATGTTTGATGTGAATCCCAACCATCCAAATGCCATGCCACGGTTATTGTCTTCGGTTGAGTCAGCAACTAGTGACTGAATCGCGGGTGTCACGATGGCAAGCCCTATCCCGTTCAAGCCTCTCGATACTGCCACCTAGTTTCAGCCACCAAACATACATAGCAAGAATGTAAATCCATTCGATTCACCCTTGTGACAAATGAAACTTGCAAATTGCAATGAGTTCATAATCATTGCAATGAAATCGAAGCAATCCCCTGAAGAACACAATGATACAGTCTTTAAGTTCTAATGTCTTCACGTAAAAACAAATGATTCTCAACATCAAACCAAAAAAGCAACGATCTATTATTGTCTCAACATCGTCCAGCCATTCAAATCAATGTCTAATTGCCTAAACTGAAAGTTTTCTAAATCAAACACCGTCAAGCTCTAGATTTTGTCCTACACAGACCAACAAATTCCAAAAATTCAACAGATCTGATTAGAACAGAGCAAAAAGGTAAATGAGTTCAAACCTGGAAGAAAGTGGTGGAGACGGCGACGAGAAAAGTGGCGGTAGCCCAAAGGAAAGCACCAAGAGCGATGACGTGAGCTCGGTTATGTCTAGAAGACAAGTAAGCAGCTAAAGGGTAACAAGAAGACTGAACAATAGACCGGAACAGAGTTAACGTTCCAAGAGCTGTGGGATCCACGTGTAGAGCATCTCCTACTTCTTTGTAAACTCCTGGAAGCAGAGACTCATCGGCTCTCTCCATTATTCCGGCGAGATACACCAGAACTAATGTTAAAGTCTCCGACTTCATCGCTTCTCACCGCGGCGAGATCGAACAGAGGGATTTGGTTCTCACTTGCTTCAACGGCAAGAGAAAAAAAAACTGAAGTCGTCAAGGTTGACGAAGCAGATGAATATGTGCGGTCCAGATGGATACTATGACACGTGGACGTATGTGATTTCATAAAGCACACGACGTGGATCCCGGATATTTGTGATCTGATGAAATTGATTCATAAGACATGAATTTAAAAAAGTCTTACAAGAATTTAGGGGAATTTCTTGTTTGTTTCCTGTATTTGCATTTTGTCAATTGTTATTAATTTACCTAACTTAATTTTGTCTTTACATTATATGATTATTCTAAGAATATATATGTTTCCCTTTTTGTGTGTTTTCTTGTGTTTCTCAAAAATTTTATCATTGTTGATTGTTCTTACCTATATTTATGCTTGTTTTTATGTAGTAATTATTGTTTAGTTATATTAGTACATTTTAAAATTAATAATTGAATTCAAGATTATAATTTTAATGTTTTTGAATAGTTTATCCATATGTGGACATGTTATGTAAATTTGATCATATTCTATTGATAATATTTGGATTTTACACTGAACTTATACTCAATTTTAAATTAATTGGTAATTGTTAGATTATAGAGTAAAATTTTTACTTATAATTCTACATTTTTTCTGGACAATAAATTATAAATTAAAATTAAACCATGTTTGAAAATTATATGATTTTATAAAGATTATGAAATAGAGAATATTTAATTTCTTAACATTAATTATTTGAAAAGATGAAATATATACCATTTTTAGCAAATAAATAAACTAATGTGTTGGGTTTAAAACCTGATGCCCATTTGTTGACATCGGTCTAGTCCACTAAAAAGCTACAATATGGGCTTAGAGTCCATAACACTTTGGTTTAGCTCTCTACACTTATACTGGACTACTAGTAGAAAACTTTAAGCTTCAGCTTTTTGGTTTCAGTCTCAAAAGTCAGAACTCAGAAGAAATGCTTCTAACTTTATTAAACACAATCATAATCGATATTAAAAAAAAATTGTGAGTATAAATATACGTCATTTCAGAATCATTTTTAGTAATTATATACTGTACTATTTTGACGGAAATAGTATCAGCCAAATATTGTTAGAAGAAATTGTTTTTTTGGCTTTTTGAAATGTCACAAACGTGGGAAGCAAAGTTGACAAACTTTTTTTTTTTTTGGGGTTAATTGGTGTTGACCAACTTCGTCCAATGCTTTCTCTTACCGAATGATCCATCACCACTCACTGACTCAAGAACAAAAAAAAAAACACTTTTTAAAAAACTGAACTAAACAAAAAACACACACAATCAACGATACCAAAATGTTAGCAATAAAATTTTCATAAAATTAATTATTTTAAAAGACAAAAGAAAAGGATTTAACTTTAACACCATGAAAAGTCTTAAGAGTAATTAGGTCCATGACATCCATATTAATATCTTAATTAGGAGTTAGCACCATAACACACATATTGACCGGAAAAAAAGAAACATGCATTGGACCACAAACGCATTTTGAAGTGTTTAGTTAGTGTTTCAAATCATATAATTCACACTTTTATACTAATTTTAAATAGAGAGTATAATGATAAAACATAGACCTCAGCAAATCAACTTTATCTTCAAGTTTAATCAGATTCAATGAACCTAGACGCATATATTGAAGCTGTGAAGAAATCAAGAAAAGATTGTGAATAATAACAGTAGTGCCCATTAACTTCAATAATTAAAAGTGGGATTAAACTATTTAAATTGGGAAACATCATTAACCCTTCCAATATATACTAATCAGTACTTTTCCGATTTGACATCAGTACTACTACTAATCAGTACGCTATAAAAGTCCTTCCACTAATTTGATTCACCAAATTAATACTTTTGTTCAACGGACTAAGATACATTGAACCTAGACATGTGTTTTTATTTATTTTCCAAATCGGTTTCTAGAATTTTCAATACCAAATACCAAAAACTACATTATATCTATCTCTCATTCTATAACATTTTCAATAATCATACAAAACACCAATATTTCTCAAACATACATATATTATACATTATTTCCAAATGTATCGAGTTACAAACACACACATGCATCGATCGTGACACTATAGTTTGCATGACATTATTAAATCACGACCGAGCTTACGTGCCAAAGCACTCTATTACACATACGTACTTAAATATTATACATGATCATGCACGCATCACATTATTTAAATCACAGCAACTCACATAAAATTCACATGCAATAACCCGTTAACACATATGATCATTTGAAAACTGTTTCTTAAACTTTTAATCCAAAGCAAGCATCGAGAGCTTCCCCGATTGTCAAATAAACCTTGCCACCGATTCTGCTGACAAACTTTGCTTGATTCAGCTTGTGGATTACTTGCCATTTAGGGTTAACGATCACTAGCTGCAAAACAAATATTCAAAAAATCGATATATATGTTGCCATAATTCTTTTTAATAAATGAGAAACGACGATTTTAACTTACAAGAATATAACATAATTACGTACCTCAACACCAGTTTGGATCAGCTTGTTATTGAGCTCCACCAAAGCAGTAATCCCCGATGTATCGACGTTTATTAAATCTATATCAATAAATAAATACGAAAAAGGTTAAACACAAGGAAAGTAATACAAATTTAAATTCAAATCGTTTCTCCTTATTGTGGCTATATATTCCGACAAATCAACCCCAAACAAAAAAAAAAAACCTCATGTATATTGAGATATTTTCATTTATCGATCATTGTTAAAATGAATGTGGTAAACTATACTTTATAATTTTAATTATTGCATATGATTCCACTTACTTGACATATCAAGGATTACAAAGAGGATTTTTCTTTTCCCATTAATCTTTGTGTTTTCTTCTTCTTCCTCCTCATCTACCCATCCCATAATCCTATAGACAAGCATACATGATTAGATTCATATATTATATATATTAATTCCAATTTGTCAAATATAAATCAATTCTTAAACTTTGTAGCTAAAATCTTTGTATATTTGTACCTTTCCTCGATTGAACTGGCATTAGCAAAGCACAACAATGCAGACTTGACACGAAAAATCAACACTCCGGGAGTCTTAACTGTCATAGGATATTGATTAGTATCTGCAAAAGTATCGGTCCCGGGCATTCTTCCGAGCGTTTCTATCCCTGGACGAATTGATATGAGTATGATCTTGGCAAACGAAATAACCACCTAGCATCACAAAAACACACAATCAATTAGATTCATGATCTATAAATATAATTAAAATGCTTCTTATTAAATTTCATAAACTTAGATATTTGTGTACAGTTTACTTTACACCTAATGTAATATACGTACCGCGACAAGAAGTCCGATCTCAACAGAAGCGAATAAAACACCAAAGAAAGCTCCAATGAGAGCAAGAAAATCGAATTTATCGACTTTCCAAATGTGAATAGCCTCATTAATGTTGATTAGTCCCGGAAGTGCTGAGAGAATAATTGAAGCAAGGATGGCGATTGGAGTATAGTAAAGAAGCCTCGTTAGACACTCGAGTGCTACAAACACCGTAACCGCCATAACAATGTTGGACATTGCTGTCTCACATCCAGCCGCAAAGTTCACGGCGGTCCGAGAGAATGAACCTAAATTACAAAATTGTTATACTATTTAGGTCGTGACTTCACAACATATAGTTTACATAAATACATTTAAGTACGTTTATCTATCTTATATAATTAAAACATGTTAAACGAGCATATTTTTTTGCCATAACCATTAATTAAAAGAAGTGATTAGTGTGATTTGATTTAAGGAGTTTTGAAACAGTAATCAAATTGAATTCATCAACCAAAAATGACTTTTATACGTAGGACTTCACATTCCACCGAGAAAGGTGGTCCATATGTTAATATATAGTCCGATGGTGACATATATTCTTCGTAAATAAATGATTAGTTAATCAGCTAATTACCAGTAGCAGCGTAACAAGATGTGAAGGAACCGAGAACATTCATAAATCCAATGGCCACCATTTCTTTGTTTCCATCGAGTCTGTACCCTTTAATTCCAGCGAACGACCTCCCCACCGCAATCGCCTCCTAAGAAGGATACAAAAAAGATAATAAATTAACCTATAAAATTAAAAATATTGTTCAAATGGAAAATTGGTTACTGATGATACTTACGGTTAAAGCAACAATGGCAATGATTAATCCGATTTTAGCGATTTGTCCGAGATGAGGAGTATTAAAGTCGAGATCGTGAATGGAGATTGGATTTAGACCTCCTTTGATGTGCTTCACTGTTTTCACGCCATGCTCGTCGGCTTTAGTCAGAAACACCATTAGCGTTGACACTACCACGGCGATCAACGGAGCTATTGCCGGTAGCCAAAACAGCTTCTTGTACTTCTTCCCCTAATATATACATAATCCATAGCTAAATTCAGCTCATTGTCCAACACTTTTAATCTATGAAAATCTCCAAAGATTGTGTTTACAATTACAAAATTTAATTATTTGAAAAGAAAAAAAAAGTTTTTTGTTCTTCTATAAAATATCACGTATAAAACAATCAATATCTCCATACCAAAAAAAAACAATCAATATCTTAACTACGAACTTTCATATGGTATCTAAAAGTTGGATTTAGTGGTAGATGAATGAAGGAAAAGAATCACTTACGATGAAGCGAGTGATAAGGATAAAACTGAGGAAGGAACATCCGAGGATGAAAGTGTGAGGGCTCCATTGTTGTTGACAAGATCGCCAGACAGCTCGAAGAACAGAGACAATGTCAGTGTTGGTGGTGAAGTTAGTGATACCAAGCAAACCTTTGAGCTGTTGGAGTCCAATTACAATGGCTGCACCACCCATGAACCCTACTATGGCTGCGTGCGACAGAAAATCCACCAGAAACCCTAATCTGAATAACCCGAAAGAAGCTTGGAAGATCCCGGCGAAAAACGTTGTGGTTAGGACCAGTTTCTTGTATCCCAAGGGATCTGTTTCTGGATCGATGAGTTTCTGCAACATTGAGGATATAAGAAGAGATACT